GACACTCTTGAGGAGAGATCTTAATTCTTGGTAGAGAATATGTCTGGCATATTTATTAAAAATACTGTAGAAGAATGGAAAATAAATGACATTGCAATCACAATGGACTGAACTTTCTGATTTGATACCTTCTAAATGGCACTCAAATCCAATGCTTCTGAAGAATAACCAGGGCAAAGAAAGTTGCAGTTGGTTTAGGGTAGAATAATGCGGCACTTTAGCTTCCTGAACTTCTAATGTATATAGTAACTAGGCTGCACGAAGAATTAGATTTTATTCTATGTAAATTTGGATCCATATAAAATAATAAAGAAGTTTTTGTAAAGGAGAGTGTGTGAAAGAAAGATTTCAAAACAAACAACAATTGTTTTTATTTTCTTGTTTTGTTTTTTTGAAGTGTCTGGATTTTGTTCTTAAATGGGTCCAGACTTCCTGTATCACAGTAGTGTTCCAGTGCAAGCAACTGTGTGATTATTCTCTTGCCATTTTATTTTAGTTTGAAAGATCCTTTTCCAAAAATAAGTCAAGCACACAATTTAGATAGTATTATATAACAAAAAAAATATACTGGGTATTTCACTACTTTTTATTTTCAAAAAATGGACTGGGAGAGCAATAAAAATACATTATGTAATAAACTATATTATTTTTTATCATTTTTAAATCATTCAGGAATTGTAGACAGTGCCTATTTAATTTTTCCACAGCAAATAGGTAACAAAAGAGCTGCTTGCTCTATCCATTGATTTTTTTTTTCTGCTTTAGGGAAAGTTCTGAAATGGAAATTGGGAAAAATTGATTTGGGAAGTAAGTATGTAGGGGACTTAGCAATAACATGGATTTCCCCCCCCCCCTCTGTAACTGCATTACTCTAGCAAAAATGCTTTTGGAAAACTCCTTTTGCTGATCTTTACCTTAATCCTAATCCTAAAGATCCAGATTCCTAAAGTGGAATCTGTAATTCCACTCTGTGTAATATTTCCATTTTGGTTTAAGTGACATAAGTGGATGCACATGACATTCTATGTGTCATTTGAATCATAATGATATTGTGGAAATGACACAGGATGCCCTACTGTTTGGTGCCTTGTTTTATAATACAGTTGTAAAATTTGAATAAGGTAATGGAAATTTCCCTCATTGTATTGGAAGTTCTCCAAATGTGGTTGCTTAGTATGTATAACAAATGACCTAAGGGGAAAAGGCAATATTGGAATAATTTACATCATGGTGAATTAAGATGAATATGTTTAATCCTTTTGTGACCCCCTTAGCCTTTCTTTTCTCCTATAATTCTTCCCTTTATTTTTTCTTTCAATTTTGTTCTAAACCAAAAGGTGAAGATTAATTTCTGAATTTACAAGAGTTGGAGAATTGAAGTGGCTTAGAAAAAAGATGAAGCAATTGTCAATTCTTTTGTTTTCAACTAAGCCAAACCCAGGACTGTTTTTTGAAAAGAGAAAGTCACTGTATTAGGTTAGAAGGCTTTCTAACCTGGCATTTTCTTAAGAGTTGTAACATATTCAGAGAACTCCATGTTGGTTTGTACATGTTTGTATATATCACGTTTCGATCTACACTGATTCACATCTGTGCATGTGACTTATGTTAGAGAGTTGCTAGAATAAATTAAGCCAAGAATTGCAACTGCCTTAGAGTTTGCGTTTCCTGCTAGTAATTATTATTATTTGTTTAGAATGAAGGAAACAAGAAAAAACAGTACCTAATTATCTTCCCTTTTTGTAGGTGCGATTCAAAGCCAGTTCCTTTGCTCATAAGCAAAACAATCAAGGAACAGCTTTCTGAGCAGATGCTGTCATATCTTTCTTGCCAGATGTCAGAAAGCCATCGTTCCATGCCTTGCAGCTGACCACATAAAACATTGAATCAATAGCATAGGACTCCCTTGTCATTAAGGACACTTTACTAGAGCTGATACAGTACTTGTGTTGTTTCTGTGATTTCATTTGACTATACCTTGTTTTCAAATCTGATATTTAGAATAATGATTTATATATTATGCTTTTGCTAAAAACTAGGTGACTTTCCAAATAAAAACCAATGCAGACATCTCACTTAATCATTGCAGTTCCCTACATATCTTCTTCTTATTCAAAGTATTTATTGGGACCTAAAAGGGATGGAGTAGATATCTATGATTACATATTTATGTCTCAGAGGTCTAATTGTCGCATTTATTGTTACTTAGAAATTTATTCAATTATTATGCAATTTTGTAATTACATAATTAGAAAGTTAGAACCATGGAACTGTATTATAAAACAAGGCACCAAACAGTAGCATACGTTCAGTAAAAAAACCAGGTAAATTAGTAGGTTGTCATCTAGCATAAACAATTAATAAATTCTTGCACCAACTATAATGAGAAGGGAATAGAATTCTGCAATGAGGCGCAAACATTTTGAACATTCCTTTTTTGATTGCCATAAAATAACAAGTGTGGCATGCTTCTTAGATCTTCTTTATTGGACAAGTACATAACTTCCCATTCATCAGTCTCAGTCTTAAATATGTCCCAAATTATACCCAATGAAAAAAATCAATAGAAGAATAGCGTGAAGGAGAGAAATAGAAAAAAAGGGCTACTTGACAAACATGGCTAACTAGCTTTTCAGCAGAATACGGCCCTATTCACTTTCTCTCTTGATGTCATCCAACAATTCTGCCACATCTTTCTGATTTTTTAAAGGTTGGTTCTATAAGCTATATCTTTCTATATGTCTGCATTCCTTCAAGATGTTTTCTTGAAATTTGATTGGAGTGGAATGATGTTTCCCTAATGCATTGAGTTTCTAGGCCATACAGAATGAAGTTCATTTCATAAATGCCACAATATTATTTGTGGGCACGCACAATGACTCCTCCCTCCCTTTTTTCTCATTGTACTAGTAACTTTTGTCTCAGTGCAACTTGAAAAAGTTGCATGCTCTTTCTGCCAATGGATATTTGTGATGTTTTAATAATTGGTAATAAAATTTACCTCCATGCTGAGAACAATGATTTCTCAACCCAGCTCCCTTGCAATGGCTGCCTGATAGGAAACAAAAAGGTTAATCATCTATTGGTATTTCAGAAATATCAGACAACTCATTAGCTTGGCTAGATCAGGGCATCATTGTGACTATCAAATGATGTCACTGATTGCCTCTTCTTTCCTTGGGAAAACAAATTGTTAAAAGACATCTACATAAGAATGATGGAAAGTGTCACTTTACTTCCATCTGGAAGTGAGGTTTTTAGGACAGGACGACCCAACATGGAAAGCGAGCTTTTTATGTCATATTTATTGATTGCAATTTAATGTGTTCTAGGGAAATAGAGATTCCACATATAGTATGAATGCATAAAGCTAGTTTTTAATTTTAGTTAATGTAAATGTATTTAGTTATTATTAACTAAATACTTTTAAAATAAAAGTATTATTTTTATTAATATTTGGTAACAATATTGATTCATTTAAGGTTCACTTATATTTCACTGTATTCCCAACCAGCGAAGATTAGTCTATATTAGATGAGTTGAAGCATGGATAAATTATTTAACTAATGACAAAATTAACATATTTCAAACCGAAGTTAACATATTTCTATTATAACAATGGGTTATGCTTCTGCAGGGTTTTTGTTATGTGAAAAAACTTTGTTGAAAACTTGCACATGTCTGCAAAGCTGATTTGATAAATGACTGTTACAAGGAGAGAAATAAACTTTTGAATTATAAGCAAAGATTATGTTAGAATGTTGCTTTGGAAAGCCATTATTTGCAAGCAAGCAAAAAGTATTTAAATCAGTGTTTTTCAAACTCTGCAAATTGAAGATGTGTGGACTTTAAGTTTTAGCTTGCTGGGAGGTTGAAGCCTAATGACCCTAAAATTGCCAATTTTGAAAAATGCTGGTTTAAGCCATAACTGGCAACTGAGTATATGAGCTTTCAAAGTAAATACATATTCAGTGGAGCTAAATTGTGAAATCCATTGACCATATTCAACCTAGGATCTGTTTGTCTTGAAGATGGGCAGAACTATTTTCTGTCTCAATTTAATTGCAATCATTTACTGTAAAGTTTTATAATCTTTGGGGGGGGGGAAGTACAGACAGTTCAACTTACAACAATTCATTTAGTGACCGTTCAAAGTTACAATGGCACTGAAAAAAGTGATTTATAACCATTTTTCACACTCATGACCTTTGAAGCATCCCCATGGCCACGTGCTCAAAATTGAGATGTTTGGCAATTGGTTCATACTTATGACCGTTGCTGTGTCCCAAGGTCATATGATCACCTTTTGCAACCTTCTCACAAGCAAAGTCAAGGGGGAAGCCAAATTCACTTAATAACCATGTTAATAACTTAACAACTGCAGTGATTCATTTAACAACTGTGGCAAGAAAGGTCGTAAGATGGGGCAAAACTCACTTAAAATGTCTCTCTTAACAACAGAAGTTTTGGGCTCAATTGTGGTTGTAAGTCAAGGACTACCTGTACGTGGAAATAAAACCTACTTGGAAGAATTCTTTAATTCTTTTATTAGATCCATTGACAATAGTCTATTAAAAATTGTGTACATTTAAAAGTGCATACTGTCTGATATAAAGCTATATCAGTACATTTATTACTTGTAAACCACCCAGAGCTAGGGAGATGGATGAGGACTAATTTAATTAATAAATAAATAAATAAATAAAAAGAGCAGAGGGGAGCAGAATTAGTGCCAGTATTTTCTGTCCTTCCAGACTTCTTCAATTAGAAGTCAGCATTCAGCATTCAAGCAAGAGTAAGCCAAAAAAAAAAAAGCAGTTGCTTAGTTTGGGCCAACCCTATGATCAGTTATATAGGAAGGCCCACCTAGATATTGGTGTATTGTTCAGCCATTTATTTCAGTTTATCTGACTTTAAAACTTATTTTGGGGTTGGACTGAGAACCGTCTTTGGGACATGTTGGAAATAAAGTGAATTCATAGTCTTTGTTCTAATTGCAGGGAGGAGAGCACTGTTATTATCAAGGTCACATCAGAGGGAATCCAGATTCATTTGTTGCTCTGTCCACCTGCCATGGACTTCAGTAAGTTTCGGTTAAGATAAAATGAAATGATTAAAATGGAACAAGATGGTTTTGAAATTTCATTTTCTGCTAAAAAGTAAGTCTACTTCTTTGGAATAGAGATTGGACAGTGTTATGAAAATTGATTGATTAGAATCAATTCATAGTTGGGTTTGATTGCAAATGTTGTTATACAGTATTAAATAGATTAGCTCCAAAGTCAAGGGGCTTTACTTGGGACTGAAAAATCACTTGGGCTCTGCACTCTGGGACTGAAAATCCTCCATGGCTGAAAATCTTGCTTGGATTTCAGCCACAGAGGATTTTCAGCTAAGAAGTGAAAGATTTCAGAATTCTTTACACTCTGGTTTAAAAATGCTTTGGGCTGTAAATCCTGTTCAGATTTAGGCCTTTTTCAGCCAGAGACTAGAGAGAATTTTCTTTCTAAGCAGCAGTGACTTTTTAGCCTTCCCTGCATTTATTTTCTGGCGAACTGGCAAGGAAGATTGTAAGTTATTTTGCAACACTTGGCAACCAATTGCAAATGTGAATGAGTTTTCAAGCACCTAGATTGCAATTGTGACTACAGAGGTGGTTCAGTGTGCAAAATTTCAGTCAGGGATCATAAATCCCTTCATTTAGCTTCATAGTAACTTTAAATGGTTGCTGAACAAATGGTCATAAATCAAGGACTACCCGTATGCCATTGTGTGAAATCTGTGCTTCAGACCTTAACCCAACTGCAGGCTTATGCAAATTAATAAAGGTAATTTGCAAGCCCTCATCTCATAGCCTTTTTCTACTCCTATCTAATCTGTAACACTGGGAACGCTACTTTATTTTGCAATACCATAATTTCCAAATTAATGTATATAAAACATTTAATACATTTTAAATGCTAAGGATTATTTACTTGTTTGTTTATATTTCATACAATATGCATTCATATGCTTATATTTCATATGCATATTTCATACTTACTGTATGCTTCAAACCAGAATGCTCATCCTGGTAAGATATTACTTCTAAGGTCAAGTGAGGGATGCTGCTGTTATAAATAGAAGCACTTATCTCAGGATTCTCTATCATCTTCCAATTTCCCTGAAAGGCTGGCACTTATCTTAGGGGAACTTCATTGATTGATGGCTTAATTCTTTCAGTATCACTTTTCAAAATACATTTAAACATTATTATGTACATATTTTTCAGAATTAAGGATTGTATTTAGTTGCATGTAGGAGTATATGTGTGTGAGTTTTAAATTGTCCATTTTACCTTTTCTCAAATTGATGTGTATGTGTGTGCGTGTGCGTAAAACAAAGAAATTCATATATAATCATATTCTTCCATTCATTTTTGGAGACTGCCTGGACATATCCTTGTCGTTTTCTTGGCAAGGTTTTTCAGAAATGATTTGCCATTGCCTCCTTCCTGGGGCTGAGAGAAAGTAACTGGCCCAAGGTCACCCAGCTGCCTTAATGCCCAAGGCCTGATACCTTAATCACTATATGAAGCTGGTATGCATGATTTCTGTCTGTCTGTCTGTCTGTCTGTCGGTCTCTCTCTCTCTCTGCGCTTGTGCGTGCATGCATACAGGCACACCTACACAAACTCTTTTGCAAATTTTTGGCAAGTTAATAGAATAGCAGAGGTGAAAGGCACCTTGGAGTTGGGTCCAACCCCCTGTTCAAGCAGGAAACCATATACCATTTCAGACAAATGGTTGTCCAATCTCTTCTTAAAAACAATCAGTGTTGGAACACCCAAAACTTCTGGAAGCAAGTGGTTCCACTGATTAATTATTCCAATTACCAGAAAATTTTTGCTTAGTTCTAAGTTGGTCTCTTCTTGATTAGTTTCCCATCCATTGCTTTTTGTCCTGCCTTCAGGTGATTTGAAGAATAGGCTGATCCCTTCTTTGTGGCAGCCCCTTAGATATTGGAACACTGCTCTCATGTCACCCTTTTCATTAAACCAGAACATACCCAATTCCTGAAACTTTTCTTCTAGTCTCCAATCCCCTAATCATCTTTGTTGTTTTTCTCTGCACTCTTTCTAAAGTCTCAACATTTTTTTTATATTGTGGCAGCCAAAACTGGATGCAATATTCCAAGTGTGGTCTTACCAAGGCATTATAAAGTGGTACTAACACTTCATGTGATCTTGATTCTATCTTGTTATTGCCTAAGATTGCATTGGCTTTTTTTGACAGCCGTAGCATGCTGCTGGCTCATATTTAAGTGAATGTCCACTAGGACTCCAAGATCCCTCTTACAATTATTACTATTGAGTCAGGTGCCACCTATACTATACCTTTGCATTTTTTTTTATCTAAATGTAGAAACTTACTTTTTTCACCATTTAATACCATTTTGTTAGATAGGACTCAATGTTCAAGTCTGTCAAGATTCTTCTGTATCTTGAGCCTGTCTTTTGGAATATTGCCTACTCCTGCCAGCTTGGTATCATCTGCAGCTTTGATGAGTTCCCCCTCTATCCCTTTGTCTAAATCATTGATGAAGATATTAAAGACTACTGGGCCTAAGACAGAGCCTTGGGGTACTCCACTGCACACTCCCCTCCATATAGATGCAGTTCCATTAAGGATTACATGTTGAGTGTGGTTGATCACCACTTACAAATCCATTTGGTGGTAACGCTGTCTAACCGACATTTTCTATCTTATCAACTATTAAGTTGTGGTCTACTTTATCAAATGCCTTGCTTAAGTCTAGGTAAATTAGATTCACAGCACTTTGCTGGTCCTCTAATTTTGTCACATTGTCAAAGAATGCAATAAGGTTTGTCTGGCAAGATCTGTTTTTGGTAAACCCATGTTGGTTTCTGGTTATGACTTTGGTTTTTTGTTTGTTTGTTTGTTTGTTTTTTGCTTTAATTTATATGCCGCCCTTCTCCAGAGACTCAGGGCGGCTTACAATGCGTTAAGCAATAGCCTTCATACTTTTGTATATTTATACAAAGTCAGCTTATTGTCCACACAATCTGGGTCCTCATTTCACCTACCTTTGAAAGGATGGAAGGCTGAGTCAACCTTGAGCCTGGTGAGATTCAAACTTGCAGTAATTGCAAGCAGCAGATGTTAATACAGTTAATAACAGTGCATTAGTCCACTGTGCTACCAAGGCTCCTTGTTTATCTCTAAGTGTTCGCAGATTTGTTGCTTGATTATTTTTCCAGAATCTTCCCAGGTATTGATGTCAGGCTGCACATTAGGTTCATGTTATACAACTGAGTATCCTAAAATTGTACTTTAAATACATGTCTTTTAGGTATTGGCTGCATGATTTTATTTTATAGTAAAGTTTTAGTTCTTTAGTTCTCTGCCTAACGATCTATCATTTTGTCTGTCCCTTTTCTTGTCCCTGTTTCTTTTCAGTAATTTAAAGAAACAGTAAAGTAGGATGCTAGCTTTATTTGTTTTGATGCTTCATGTGTAATTCATGCTAATGATAAAAACTTAAGACTAGTCAATTTGGGAATATTTTAGGCAGTATACCACAAATGCAAGCAAAGTCCAGTTTTATCCTGAGGTATTCTGTGCAAGCTAGAATCTCTAGACCTTACTAGTTAACTGTAACTTGAGAAAAAGTAGAAGATTGAGAAATATGTTATTGGAGTTGTTAAAATTTGAAAAATATTACAATGTAAAATTTGAAAGCCAAATGCATAACTTAAACTAGATTAAAAACAAATATTATTTGCAAGGATATAAAATTATGAAGAAATATAATGAATTCTGTGTTTATGGAGATTCTCAGTCATCCAGGTTGTGGTTGTCCCATAGGTGCTCTTTCAAGACGCAACTGGACTTTCTGGTTTTTCTTTGAAGATGTTTCGCTTCTCATCCAAGAACCTTTTCCAGCTCTGACTGGATAGTGGGGAATGGAAGGATTTATACTCCTTGCAGACAGCTGGTCATTTGCATTGTTTAGTGGTCATTAAGAGATTTATCTGTGGAGATTTATCTGTGTCATCAGGGTCACCTGAATGGTGCAGATGGGTGTGGAGCCTTTTTGGAACTGTTGAAAGGACTGTGTTGTAGACTGGAAATAGATGAATGCCATTATTTTGCTAAACAACTAATTTCCACAACGCTGTCAAACTATTTACTAAGACTGTATTACTGTTATTCTTCTCATCCTTCCTATTACCTATCTCCTCCCACTTATGACTATAATCATGTTGCTTGTATTTTTATGGTTTATATTGTTCTGTTCGTTTCCTAATATGATTTGATTGCTTATTAGTAACCTATGATTATAGGATAGAATCACAATGATTCTTGATGAATGTATTTTTCTTCTTCTTTTTTTCCTTTTATGTACACTGAGAGCATATGCACCAAAGACAAATTCCTTGTGTGTCCAATCACACTTGGCCAATAAAGAATTCTGTCCTGTCCTGTCCTGTCCTGTCCTGTCCTGTCCTGTCCTGTCCTATCCTATCCTATCCTATTCTATCCTATCCTATCCTATTCCCTGTTGAGAGAGGGCTGTTCACTTTTGACATAGATGGCCTCTTTGACCGCTCTTTCAAATCAGCCAACATAACATACATGCACACTTCAAACCCAAGAATACACTAAGGCAGAAGCTTATCCACCCCAAGGATAAAACACTCAGACACAAACTGAGCAGTGTGGTATATATAGTACAATGCAGTGAACCATGTGCAGATCTGTACATTAGGGAAACAAAACAACCAATTACTTCATAAACATATGGCACAACATAGGAGAACAAACCCATCAGGACCAGGGGTGGGTTCTACTTACCTTTATTACTGGTTCGCAACGGGAGCTTCTGCGCATGCGCAGATCATCCATTATGACGTCCAGGTGGGTGGGCGGAGCCTCCCGTCGCTTTTACTACCAGTTGGCAAGAACCAGATGGAACCGGAAGCAACCCACCACTGATCAGGACTAGATTCAGCAGTCCATCTGCATTTAAAAGACAAATGCCACTCTTTTAAATACAGCAAACTCCACATTTTGGACAGAGGGGGAGGGATACGACATCATCTAACCCAGTCTACAACCCAGTCCTTTCAACAGTTCCAAAAAGGTTCCACACCTATTTGGATGAGAAGCGAAATGTCAAAGAAAAACCAGAAAGTTCAGTTGCCTTTTGATAAAGCACCTTTGGGACAATGAATGCTGTGGTGTAAAATTAATTCTATTTCCTTTTAATTTCTGTTTATCTTCTGACTTTTGTTCTTTTGCTTATTATTTACCCTATCTATGTTTTGTATAAAGTTGGTTATCCTGAAAGGAAATAAAGACATGGATATACATGTATGTATGTAATGACAATTTACGTACAATCTTTAAAAAAAAGAAAAGAAATATAAATCACTAACAACAACAAAATTTCAAAAGATAATGAAAACTGGAAAATTTCTGCCTGTCTGTCTAATATACTCATATAAATGTGATTAATTAAATGCTGAGATTAAGTAGAAAAAATGTACTAAATAACTGTTCCTATGAAAAATCAAGGACAGGAATTAAAACTCAGCTTTTAACAAAGATCAGAAATCAGTAATTAATTTAACTAGGTACTACAAATAATATATTCATATTAAACAGTAAGTATATGCAAATGAAGAGAAATCTGCCTAAAAGGATCCTTGAGGAAAATATGCATTGATTTAAAAAAAAAATATTGCAACTGTACAAAGAGATATTGATTGTTTTATATAAAAATTGTAGTCTCTGGGGAATAGATGAGCAGCTAGTTATTCCATACTCCATCCCACTGAGAATGCAGTGTATAAACCTGCCATAGTCTAATGCATAACATACATTATTTAATCAGCTTGCAGTTATACGTGCAAGGTCAGAATCCAAGTATTAAAAATACTTGGCCAAGAGAGATTCAGTCCTCTGAAGGATCTACAGTAAATGCAAAAGAGGACATGGGTGGGGAGGCAATTATGTGCACTGTTATATCTGGTAACATACTTTATCTGTTCAGAAAAATAGATGCTATATAAATAAACTTTCTAAATTATCATCTTGATTTTGATTTTCAGCTTTTTCTTTAAAAAGTTTTTGATCTGTAGAATACAATAGTATAGTGACATTTCCCCCCCCCTTATTTTTCTGTTTTTAAGATTCTGAAATTTTAGAGTGTAGATCTTCTAAATCTAAAATTTGTGTAATTCCACTTCTTTGTTTGTATTGAACTTTTCAAGAAATATCTGCAGTGAAATGAGAGTAACATTATATATGGAATATAAGCAACTATATGTGAAATTAAAGTGATAGTACTTATTCAATAAATTGTTTATAAGAGAGACTGCCCCATGAATACTTTTCTAATTCTGTCATTCCCCTGAACTTGTACACACAAATCTAAACACCTTCTTGAGATCAGATGTTGTCCTCCAGGTTGTCTTTACAGGTATTTCTTAATTTATGACCACTCATTCAGTGACTGTTCAAACATGAGACCATGCGTAACAAGTGGCACAACTGGTTTTCAAAGTTATGGCTGTTGAAGTGTCTCTATGGTCACGTGGTCACCATTTATGACCTTTTTTGTTGGCTTCCAACAAGCAAAGGGAATTGGGAAGTTGGCAGGAGGTTGCAAATGGTAACCATATGATGTCCTCATTTAGCAATGGAAACCAGGAGTGCTCAAATTGCCATGATTAGGCAGTGCAGTCATATGCTTTATTATTACATTGTTTAGTGATGGCAATTGTAGTCCCAATTGCCCTTGTAAACCAAGCACTATCTGTAATTTCTTCTTTTACTTATAGCCTGTCCTGCTTTGAATAGCCAACAGGGAGCTGAACCTCATTCTTCTTATGCAGGAAACATTCGGCTTTCCAGCAGAGGTGTTGATGTTTAGACAGTACAAAAACTGAAAAAAGATAGAACTACTATGCTCTTTTTCACTCCTACCACCAGTGTAGATCTTTGATAGCACAACAAATATAAATCACAGGGACTTGACAGATTACAAGCCAGAGTTCTGAAGGAGCTGGCAGATGTTATCTCAGAACCATTGTACCATAACTTTCAAAAATCCTGGAACACTGGGAACTATTTGAGGATTGGGAAAGAGCTGATGTGATTTTCCATCTAAAAAAAAAAAAGGGAGGGGGGAACAGACTCAGGAAACTACAGACCAATCAGCATAATATCAATATTTAGGAAGATACTGGAAAAGATAATTTAAAAAGAGATCTGCGAAAATCTAGAAACAAATAAAGTTATAACTAGAAACCAGAATGGATTTATTAAAAATAGATCATGCCCAATCTTATTTCATTCTTTGACAAAGTGACTAAATTAATAGACCAGTGAAATGCTGTGAACATAGTATACTTGGATTTCAGTAAGGCATTTGACAAAGTAGACCACAGTCTATTTTTTAGTAAGGTAGAAAAATGTGGGATAGACAGCATCACCACCAGATGGATTTGTCACTGGCTGACAAACTGTACTCAAGGAGTAGTCCTTAATGGTACTACATCTACATGGAGGGAAGTAAGCAGTGGTGTACTATAAGGCAGAGTACAGAATACAGTGGTATACAGGGCTCTGTCTTAGGCCCAGTACTCTTCAATATCTTCATAAATGACTTAGATAAGAGAATAGAAACGGAAATAATCAAATTTACAGATGACACTAAGCTAGCAGGAATAGCCAATACCCCAGAAGACAAGCTCATGATCCAAAAAGATCTTGACAGACTTGAACAATGGGCCCTATCCAACAAAATGAAATTTAATGTGGAGACAAGCAAGGTTTTATACTTAAATACAAAAACAGTAACTGGGAGAGGGACCTTGGAGTGGATGATCATTTACATATGAACCAGCAATGTGTGGCAGCAGCCAAAAAAACCTAATAAAATCCTTGGTTGTACAGAGACATAAAATTAAAATCACATGAAGTACTACTTTATAAAGCCTTAGTAAGATCACACCTGGAACACTGCATCCAGTTTTGGACACCACATTACAAAAAAGATGTTGAGATTTTGGAAAGAGTGCAGAGAAGAGCAACTAGGATGATTAAAGATCTGGGGACTAAAACATATGAAGAACGATTGCAGGAACGGGGTATAGCTAATCTAGAGAAAAGAAGGACTAACGGCAATATGATAACAGTATTCCAGTATATGAGGGGCTGCCATACAGAAGAGAGGTCAACTTATTTTCCAAAGCATCAAAGGACAGGGGAACAAAACGGATGGAAACTAATCAAGGAGAGAAGCAACCTGGAATTTAAGGAAAAACTTCCTAATAGTGAGAACAATTAACCAATGGAACAGTTTGCCTTTATCAATGGAGGTTTTTAAGAAAAGACTTGTCTCAAATTGGATAGGGTCTCCTCTTGAGCAGGGGATTGGACTGGAAGACCTCCAAGATCCCTTCCAGCTCTATTCTGATTATATTACAAATATATGAATTCCAGGGACAGAATATCTCTTGCAAATTGCAAGTTGGTCTCTGCTTGAGCACAGACAATTTGGGAGAGCTTAACCTTCCTCTAAAATAATTGGCTCCATTGTCAAAATGGTTTTTATCCTCAATGGGTAAATATCATCCTAAAATTTAAGTACAGTGGATTTAGCAACCATTGTTATCACATGTGGGATAACTGCATGCACTGATTTGATAGCACTGTGTACATATTTGAATTGAAAAATATGCTATTATTATTTTAAAAATGGCACTCTGTATTCAAAGTAAATCCTTTAGAAGTTTTAGTGCAAGAATTCTCAAATAGAACCTCTAGTATGTGACAATATACTGCCCTTTTGTACAAGGATAATATAGAAAAAGTATATTGTTGTCTCATTTGCATACACTGCTAAAGATTAGTTCCCAAATCATTGGCATTGTATTTTGTAGACTTGCAATAGGTACTGACTTCCAACAGGTCACAGACTTGCGAACTACAGATAGTTACAAATAAACATTTCTTGAAATCATTCTAGTTAATAAGCATGTTTTTAAAGCAAGATCCTAATTATCCTAAAATAAATATTATAAGACATTTTTACAAGCTTGCAGTTTTTACTGTCCACTGGTGGCAAACCGTAAGTGCTACCACTGCCAGTATAAAGAATTAAAACTCAAAATCACTATGATCAATAATAGTTTGATATGATTTTTTCTGTGCTGTGAAGAGTTCTGCAACAGGTGTATTATATAATAGAATGGAAGGTAATAAATAGTTGTGCTGTTCATAAGAGAAGAGAGGAAATTACTCAGGATTTATTGCAGGAAACAACTAAAATTAATTTCCTGAGCTAGTTGAAGGATTAAAAATTACGGGGCAATAATAGCCCATTTCTACATGAGATTCTCTTTTACATGTAGTATTATTTTATGTACTTAGTTAAATTATAACACGCAAGTCAGAGAGCTGCCTTTTTTTTAACAGTGGAATGTTCTATGATGGAAATCACACATATCTTATTGAGCCAGAAGAAAATTGTACATCTCAAGTAAGTACTGTAGAATTAAAATACAATTATCCTCAGATTGTTCTTTAAATAGTTAATATATGACTTGCACTTCTTACATAGATTCTAGTTGTAAGAATTCAGAAATAAAAATGAGTTTAGAAAAATATTTTTTAATGTATATTTTTGCATATAAGTATATAAGTATGCAAGTGTGTGTATGTGAACTGGTGCTTATATGTGTCTATGTGCATATATTCAGAATACTATGATCTGCAATTTCCTGGGTATAAAAATGTATAGTTCTAGCTAAAGTATCAGCCTTAGAATGATTTACTAAATTTAGATGTCTTTTATTTTAGGAGGAATTCCATTTACACTCAGTATACAAATCCAGATTATTTGAATTTCCTTTGGATTATCTTCCATCTGGTATATTTTTAATACTCTTATTGTTGCATTTATTTTGTAGCTAAATCATTGCTGGTTATTTTTATTCTGTTGTTATTAATAATATAAAAGCCTCTCTGAACACAGGATTAGAAAACAAACAAAAAAACCAAACAAACAAAAAAACCACATTTTCCAAAAAAGATCTGTAGACTTTTGATATTGCAATAGTAATTCAATGATTGGCTTTCTAAAGAAGAGTCTTTATAGGTCAAAAGAGACTAGCCTGTTATACATAAAAAGCTAACCTGTTAAAAATCAGTTCTTGTCCAAATGCTGAACGTTTCAAGAGAATATTTTTGGTTCTGTAAAATTTTAATCAGTTCTAACAGAACTTTCAATTTATGAAAAAGAGACTTTTTTCCCCTCCATAAAACTAATTTATAGTAAGCAAGTCTTATATTTTCTTCTACTCCAGTTTCTCTACTCCAGTTTCTTAAAAACAGAGCATGGGAAAACTGGAACCATTTTTCTCTTTAAGAGGCTCTCCATGAAAGTTAGAACCCTTGGAAATCAGGATCCTAAATTGCATTGAGAGCCTTCATACATAGAGATACTTCTCCATTATGGTTGCGTCCTACACAGAGGGTATGTGGCACGTGTGCATGCATGTAATGGAAGCAGAATTGGTATTTTCACCAAAGATGAATTTCCTGTTATTGATTTCTAAATGCCTGAAAAAGGTTAATGTCAAGGTTTGATCAATGTTGTAGCTTCATATAGTTTGTCATATTTTATAGTGTTATTTGATATCTCCACTATATAGATCATGTGCTTATTAAACAGTGTTTTCATTGACTTGTAAACGCCTGATGATTACATTTTAGCTTGGATTTTCATAACTTGTTTATTTAATACCTTCTGTGGCTTCTGGTTATCCTAAGATTATTTTATGGCAGTTCAGGTCAAGAAATATGTAAAAAGACTTATTTGTTAATGAAAAAATACCAAGGCTAATATCTGAGTCCAAGAATACATTATGCAAGAAACTGTTCTGAGGGTTTATGTTTCCTTTATGTTTCTTTCCTTTCCTTAATGTTTCCTTTAATTTAATTTGAAGTGTTTCAGTGTACCTTGAAAAGTATTTTGCTTCTGTTTTCAACACTCTATAACCCACTCGTCATATTCGTGAACTTGTTATGGGTGAGCAGGTTTTTTTGGTGAAAATGCCAACTCTTGCACTGATGAATTTCCAATATCTTGTTTTTGTGGCAATAGATAATATGATTATCCCTGTGTATTTTCTTGAGTTTTGAGTAATTCTTAAAATATTTAAAATAGGTATTTATTCAGCCTTGTGCTTTGTTCATTTTGCTGCTAAAAGTGCTAGTCTTTTTTAACTGTCATTAAATTGACTGTAATATGTGTCCCATTCAGAATTCTGGCACATGAATACTACATCACAGAAATTTGGTGTGAAATCAAGCTATAAAAGAAGAAAAAGGCAGGTATGCCCTCTTATCCTGTTATTTATTTTTTTTGCAATCTTTTAAAAAACATATTATTCAGGCTTCCTTTTTTAGTAAATTCAAGACACATGATTTTGCCTGCTTTATCATATCTCCATTATAAGCCCCCTTTTTCATGCTGAGAACATCCAATGGTGTTCTTTGATAATACATATCAATCCAAAGAGAATAGTCTCATCAGAGGCTGGGAGGAAGGCAAACGTCCCCTTCCATTTTGCCTGTTGCAAAACCAACAGGAAAATGATTTTTACAGCATGACTGTTCAAGGCAATCAAATTGAATAATTGCTATTTAGAATTTTCTCTTAGTGGGTGTAGTAATCACATCTCTTCAATAGCAGGCATTTTATTTTCACTTTGATGAGTGAGTGTTAATATGACTTGCATCTGACTAAGCTGTGGGTCTACAATCTGTCCAGGGAATGGGTGTCACCATACAATTTCACCTAATATTTATTGCAGGAGCTAAAATATAAAGAAATAATATATATTAAGAAGATAAAACACCAAAATGCTTATTAAGAAAGATAAACGCCCAAAGTGTCAAGAACAGAGCAATTTCAAGGACTGTTTTATGAGATTTTGAACATTTGGATTTTTAAATAGAAATAGAAAAGCAAATGAATATCATTTATACTACTTGCCTAAACATTGAACCAACATAGAATATTCTTAGGTATCCCTGTGCCCTGCATCTGGGGGTAGGCTTCTGGGCATTATTGATTAAGTATATACAACCTGTGAAAAAATAACATCACACAGAATAAGCATTTTGTGATGTATATTTTTTTAAACTGAGAAAAACACAAATATAAATATCAGCCATTAATAAAATATATAGCTTTGAAGATATTTAATACACAGAGGAGTTCACTAATGAAGCTAAGGGTTATAGGAATTCCTTTAAAAAGATGGAATCTTATCAAACTGTATTTTGAAAATTTATTATTAGATTTATTTATTTATTAAATTTATATGCTGCCCATTTAAGTCCAATACTGGTCAATATAGCAATATAAAATTATCTGTTATATTTCGTCTAAGCTTACATTAGAACTAGATTGCTTAATTTTCTGTCATTCAAATGTTAGAAATTCTGACATATTTTTTTTCTAATTTGGTATCATGAATTAATTTTAAGTGCAATGAAGGAAAGAAATCAGCTCAGAATAATTAGTCTAGAATCAGGTGTTTGTTGCTGACCTTTTTAATTATATACAGCATCTTCCTCTTTCTGTAGGTCCAACTGAATTTGCCTAGAGTTGAAGATGAAACGAAATATGTTGAGCTAATGATTGTAAACGATCATCTAATGGTGAGGTTTTACATACAAGGCTTTTTAAAAGTTATCAATAATGCATGCATAGCTTTGTGTCTATAATAGATTCAACAATAATGTACCTATTGCAAAATGATTCTAATCATTCCACTGAAGTCGGGCTGTCTGGAACTTTGCTGGAATCACTCAACAGGACATCTAAGAGCAAAGAATAGATTGGTAATTACAACAGACCTTGGCTTCTTTCTTTTTTTTTTCCCTACAGAATATAGCATTTTTTTTCTGAATAATTTTCCTGAAGACCACATTTAGCTTTTTTAAAGAGCTGTTTATATTAACTATTGAGTGGTTGGGCTAACTTTTTCTGGAGGTAGAAGTTGTATTGCTTTGTATTGAAGACCCTCTCTATATTCGTTGCATCACACTGGAGATTGGAAATATCCTTCTCCCCTTCAGGCGTGATTATATTTTCCCTAATAGTACAATATCTACACCAAATATAGACAATCTTTTTGGTGAATAAATAAATTTGGAATTTTACAAACATGTATAAACAGTTTTCACAAATTGCCTTCCATAATAAATGGAACTAGGCTCAAAACATCTGTTTATCAAAATGCTGCTCTATATTATCCTATGATGCTGTCTTTGGCTTTTTTTCTGCTCATGGGATCATATCATAAAACATTAGGCAGCAATTATTGGAATCTAAAGATGTCTGGGAGGTTTATGTGAGCTCAGAAGCATTCATGGAAAAGCAGATTATGTTAAAAGGTGGTACTCTGTTTTACGGCATACTACCTTCTTAAAAAATTGGTCTGAATCATCAGGGAGCTTATCTATTGAAAAAGAAATCTAAAATATATACATTACATTGTGACTTTGCAAAACTGATTTAGATATGTTTTGGGCAAAATCGGGCATGGATTTTTCTTTACAACTGCTGGTGATTAGGGAATTTTTTAGCAAATCGGATTTAATGCCAATATACCATGTTTCTCAAAAAAGAACGTTGGGTCTTATTTTTTTTTGACTCCCGAAAAAATGGCTAGGCCTTCTTTTTGGAGGGTTCTAATTATTTACTAACCTCGCGGCAGTGGCACCGATAGCCCTGCCCAGAAGGAGCCTACTTCTGGCCCAGTTCTTCTGCGGCTGCTTGCTGCCACTCACACGCTTCATCCCGGCCTCTGTTTTGCCTTTAGATACCTGCCGGAAGCCCTCTGCAGCTGGTAATAGATCTCTGGATTGATCCGGAGCTTTGTTATCGGCTTCAGATGCCTTCCAGCAAGCATCTGAAGGTGAAACGGAGGCCAGGGTGATGCATGCGAGTGGCAGCAAGCGGCCGCAGAAGAAACGGTCGCAGAAGAAGGCAAGGCAGGTGTCGGGGTGTGTGAAGCCTGGTAAGTAGGGCAGCTCCACCTCCCCATCCCCACCCTAATTTATTTTTTACTTGTGTGCCTCGCCCCACCTCCTGCACCCCGGGGTGGGCGGGGTGTTAATTAGGGCTAATTTTGTGGGTGAGGCTTAATTTGATCACATGCGCTCAGAAATGTGATAGGGCTTCTTTTCAAGATGGGTCGTCTTTTTGGAGAAACACAGTACTTATTTCAGGAGCAAGAATGACTTTGAGCAATATTGAGTCAGCAAATCTCTCTGTAGGCATTCTGTTGGAATTCTGGGTGCTTGAAGAAAGATACAGTATGTCATGTGATAAGCTGAAGTGGAATAGATCATGCCTTCTGTCATGAAATGAATGTATTGTTTGGCTTGTTTAATCAAACTTTATATTTCTTTGTAAGGATTCCCTGTATGTTTGGCCTACAGATACATTATTATTTTTTCTTATACTATATACAAGCAAATCTAGAGATAAAGCTTTTTACAAGTCAGAAGGTATTTTCCCCCCACCCTCCAGTTCCAGATTTTTTAAAATGGAATTTCCATTACAGTGGAATCATAATTCCTCATTTAAACTCTAAGTAAAAGGGGGAGGGGATCTCATTTAAACCATTATATCAGGTGCCTCTTAGTAGAAGAGGTTATTGATTGTTTTCTTGCTTCCTCAAGGAATAGGAAAGAAAGTAGCCGTATTTTATTGGGTGTCACATGAGACTCTTTGATTGTCCTTATGTTTATACAGGTGCCAAGTAGAGAAAGGTGGATGAATGTGTGAAAATGATTTTAATCATTATTGCCAAATCCTGAGTTTAATTTTAATTCTAGTTCTGAATCTTCAGTGCAGCTATTTATAAAGTACTGAAATATACTGAAATAGGAATAAGCAGAACAGTTTTTAAAAGCCTTAAAAAAGTGTATATGCAAAGTAGTGATCTTTGCTGTAATCCCTCATTATAACTCTCAAACCACATGGAAAATGAAGTAACTAATAGTAGTATCTTACATATGTGTGTTTAATAATAAACTGAATCCTTATTGGAGAACCCTGAATAGGTTGAGAGTTGGAGCTGCTAAGTGTAAAACTGATGTTCTATAATGGAGGTTCTTAGCAGATTCACACTGTGTGGATATGGAGAGACACAGAGTCCAACCCATCTGCTGGTATGTTGGCTACTATCAGTAACGGGTAACGATAATGACTTATTTTTGGCCAATGACAAAGCCAAAAAGCTGGCTTTATTCTGGCAGTTTATAGTTTAATGTAGACAGGGAAGAAGGAGAAGGAGAATTAGAAGAATTAGAAGAATTAGAATTAGAAGAGAAGGAGAAGGAGGAGGAGGAGGAGGAGAAGGAGGAGGAGGAAGAGGAGGAGGAGGAGGAGGAGGAGGAGGAGAAGAAGAAGAAGAAGAAGAAGAAGAAGAAGAAGAAGAAGAAGAAGAAGAAGAAGAAGAAGAAGAAGAAGAAGAAGAAGAAGAAGAAGAAGAAGAAGAAGAAGAAACTGAATTGTGACTAGTGGTCTGTTTTATTCTTCCTCCCCAGTTTTCCATTTTTTGTCACCATTCTACTGAGTAACCATGTCTCTTTGGAAGACTCAGTTTCCTTTAAAAAATGCTTTCTTTTAAACTATCGTTGGGCTTAATTTAAGTTTGCCAAATTTCCTTCTTGAGTAGTAATCAGGGTCCTTTTAAAGGGTAGGCAAGGGACAATAGCCCTTGCCTACCCTTAGCTGGAAGAGGCCCTTCCAAAGGATAATTTAGCTAGAAGATGCCCTTCCAAAGGATAATTTGGAGCCAATTTGATCTAGTGATTAAGATCTAGTGGTGTATGTTGTGTGTATGTGTGTTTTGTGTGTATGTGTGATTGGTGAACCGTGACTTATAATGTTGTGACATACATCTGTGGCTTACATACTTGTGTTAGATTTTGGATCACAAGTACAAAAAACTAGAGGATGCAATGTGTTTGTATCAAAGGCCAATGACTCTAGTTAATAGTACTCTTTTGGCTACCTAAGATCTAATCCTCAAGGAAAATGACATGCTATAAAAACAGCATTAACAATGCAAAATATTACAAAAAGCCAAGTGTTTTATTATTCAGTTGTATATTTCCTTTATTTTACTATATGTTATAGTTTGTGGTTGCATTACAATACTATTCTCATGTTCCTTTCACCTTTTCTTTCAGTAATTAATATTATGATATGAAATACATAGAAGATTATAATTATGATCGTATCATAGATGCCCAATATAGTATAAATTATTTATAATTACTTCCAGAAATGCAGATAAAGAATCTTCTGTGATTGGCATTTTACAAGTACAAATTAAGAGATAACCTGAACAACTCTGTGTTGCTTTTGTTGTGGCAAAATCTAATACAGAAGAATAGTCATATGTAAAAATGGCATATGACACATATGTAGATTGTAAAAGGATGACCAGTAAGCACGTACAGCTCTCATCTGATCAGGTTGTTTGAATCAGCAATATTGAGGTCATGGTCCAAGCCACTTTGTTTTGGTAAAGTACTAGATATAAGAGATGCCCTGACCCTCCTTTTGATGTTGCAATTTGGTCTTTAAAAAAATAATTGATATGTATTTATATTTAAGAAAACACAAGAGAGTTTCAATCAATCAATTTTATTTTGATAGACCACTAGCATGCTCCATACAAATAATTAACGATACAGAAAAGACATGTGACTCGGACTCGCATCAGTCATTACCTTGTTTTTATTGTGAAAACATAGAATTCAGCTGCCATATCAGGGGTGGGTTCCAATTACCTTTACTACTGGTTCGCAACGGGAGCGTGCACGCGCACTTCTGCACATGCGCAGATCATCCATGATGTCCGGGCAGGTGGGCAGAGCCTGCCGCCACCATTACTACCAGTTCTCAAGAAACGGACCGAACCGGGAGCAACCCACCACGGTGCCATATGGTTAATAATTTCATAGCTGAGAAAAGGAGGTTCACGCAATGACTTGTTCTTATGTCTATTGATGAGCAGGTATAAGATACTCCAAATAGCCCTATATTGTTACACATGATAAACTATTCCTGTGTCCTTGGTCTGCACAAGCAGGGATGATCAGTTAAATGGGATATTACCTGCACTACAGAGGTTCAGAGGGAAGGATGATTTGCCTGGCCTTCAAAAATGTTTTTCTCAACTTGGAAAACGAAGAAGGATTAAATATTTTTTCAGACCCCATGCAACTTTTATAGCCAAATTCAATCTGATGCTCCATCTCTTTAAACTTTAAGAGAACATTAGTTTAGTCTGTTCATATCCCAAACACATTAAACATGCTACTGATAGCACATATGAGTCTACTTTTTTAATTTACTGCAGCTTTCTACTGCAGTAGATAATTATTAAGAAAAATTAAAGGTGAATAATCTGGGACAAAAGCAGTGCAGTTTTGATACCAGAATAAATTAACTCTATACATTAGCATACTCATTACCAGCGATTTAAGCTTGATGTACGTCAGGTTGCATATATAAAAAGAGCTTGAATGCTTGCACATTGTATTGAGGTTATGAGGTTGATCGTATTAAAGGTATTACTTCTAATTTGAATTTTTTAAGTGCTGTTGTTCTGTAGACATTTGCATTATCTTGCAGGCACCTTTCTCCTCCTATGTGTATAAAAGCTGACCCACAATATACAGATACTAGATTACTAATTTGTGCTGCTGGCAGTTCACCAAACGAAAGAGTCCTTTATTGTCATTCGATATTTTTAATTTTTATGGTGCTGTATTGATTTTTTAAAAATAATATTTATATTTGAATAAATAATCTGTAAATCCCCGTATCTGAAGTAAAAGGTAATCTTTGACTGAAGTAATTCTTGAAAGGACCTGATGTTTCAGAAAGATGTTTGGAATCTGTCTGGTTTTTTTTTTAGCTGAAAAAACATCGATTATCAGTTGGTCACACAAACAGCTTTGCAAAATCGGTAGTGAATATGGCAGATTTAGTAAGTATAATTCTCAAACTCTGTCTGTCTATTATCTATCTATCAATCTATCTATCTATCTATCTATCTATCTATCTATCTATCTATCTAATCTATCATCTTGTCTATCTATCTATCTATCTATCTATCTATCTATCTATCTATCTATCTATCTATCTATCTCTATTTCTGTGTGTGTCTTTATCAGTCAGTCAGTCTGTCTGTCTCACTGTCTATCATCTATCTAATTTAGAAACCACTGTCTCACTACTCACTCCATGTCATAGAGTCAGTGTGTTGTGTGTGTGTGTGTGTGTGTGTGTGTGTGTGTGTGTGTATGTCTGTATCTGTGTGCTTGTGTCTGAGTATATATACAGTATGGCAGTGTTAATACAGGAATGCCAATTTAAAGTCAAAGGGGACAAAAGAAAGTGTTAATTCATTATTCTACTTAGTTTGATTCTTAATATATGTGAATGAAAAACAGAAGCAGAATGGCAGGTAGAAACATTGCTGAATTTTTGGTTGTGTATCTGTTTCACCTGGCATTCTATGAAAGCTCCAGTCAGTTCTGGAGTACTTCACCTTTCAAAAGAATGACTCTAAAACAGTTTAGTTTTTTCACAATGAATTTAATACGTTAAACTATGGTTGTCTAAATTTTCGGGTGCTTAGGCCGCACTGAGTGAATTGTCTTGGGCTGCATACAAACTATATAATTAGTTAATGAATATAAATCACTATAATAATGTTAAAAATTTACAATCTTGTGGGGATGCATTACTAGCTGTCCAAGGTCATATATAGTCTGCAGGCCATGGATTGGACATGTCTGTGTTAGACTGTATATGACTGTGATTAATGTAAGTATTCTTTACATTGGATTTTTCTTTAGTCACTTTTTTGAATACTGCATGTTTTTAACAAAACAATATTGACACTATTACTTTATAATATATTTTCCTAATGTACTAGATTTATAAAGAACAACTGAACACCAGAATAGTCTTGGTTGCCATGGAAACCTGGGGTACTGATAACAAGTTCACCATATCTGAAAACCCACTGGTAACTCTACGTGAATTTATGAAATATAGGAGAGATTTTATCAAAGAGAAAAGTGATGCAGTTCATCTTTTTTCGTACGTAATTTTGTATTGTTTGGTTATTACTGGAGATGAAGGAAACTAATGAAAGTGTAATTTGAGACATAGAAATGGTTGTATGTTATCTAATTCCTTTGTCATGATCATAAGGACATCAAATGCTTTTATTTAAACAAGCTTTACTTTTATATTGAATAATGAGTGTGGCTTAAGAAAAAAAACTCAAAGTTTTTCCCCATGGAACTGTTGTTTAGGTATAATGAGCATCCATACCTAGTTGAAAATGAACAAAAAAAAATATCAGTTTTTCCTTCTTCTCACGATACTGAAATGACCAAAGGGGAAGTGATGATCTATGGTTTCCATATTGCATAACTGGAAATCCCCACATGACCTTTGAGTGAGGTGTGGCACACAAAATTTCAAAAAGTGGTTAGCATAGGGACAAAAATCAGAAAGAAAGCTAAAATTGATGCAATTTCAGTTTAAGTTTAATTAATGTTAAATTTAATGAAGTTTATTTATGTGTGATTTTATTTCATGTATAGTACTTACTTTTTACCTTTTGAATGTTTAGAGGAGCTATAAAGTTGTATTTCATTTTACTGATATTTTTGGTGTTGATTGATAATTTGTACACAAATGTATTGAGAAAGTTATTATAAAGAGATAAAGAGAGGGGGAATTGAAATATTTCTGTTCTTCTCACAAGTTCCAAACATTTGAATCCCATTCTTGTTTTAAAGATGCTTAAAGTAAGCATCACCAACATTGTGTTGGCTGGAAAACCAAAGGCAAGTCGGATGGGATTGTATCATTTGCAAAGGGCTGTTTTTAGCATTTTCCCATTTTTCTTATTTTTTGTATGGTAGGTCCCTCTCCCCCCCTCCCCCCCCAAAAACCCCCCCACTATATTTTAAGGCTTGTGCTATAATTCGGTAATGTCATGTCTGAGCATGACAGGAAACTATATTGCTCATGTTGACATTTCACTGAAAGAATGTCTTTGGAGGATCATGAAAAATTGAATTTGAGTAGCTCCACTTACCTCTCCCCAGTTTAAACAGAACATTGTCTCCAGTGGTATATTGGTGTCTTTACAGTTGTCCTTAACTCCTGATGACTACATGGATATGTCTTATTTTCTTGACAACATTATGTAACTAGTTTGCCATGTGTTTTTCAATTTACCAGTCTACTCTAGAGCTCTGAGATAGTCTAGTGGTTTTCCATCCAGTTATGCCACTATCTCATCTCAGATTGTATGAATTGTACTAATTTTCTAATGTTTTTTTCTCACAAATTTTAAGACATATAAGCATTCATATTGTAGTGTAAGTTTGTCCAAGTTGCTTTATCATGCTTACAATGATCTTCACCTGATATACTACAGAATTCAAAAGTGACATGGTAAAGTGAGAAACTCTGAAAATCAGCTTTCCCTATCTACTAGAGCCACTGAGATGTGTGGGGACTGCATTGCCCAGACATTATGATCGAGGTTGACTTAGCCTTCCACCCTTCCGAGATTGGTAAAATGAGGACCCTGATTGTTGGGTGCAATAGGTTGACTCGGTAAACCGCTTAGAGAGTAAATCAGTGGTATATAAGTCTAAGTGTTATTGCTATTATTCTGGAATTCTATCCCAGAACATTGCAGTCTAATTAGATCCTCAAAAATTTTGGTCCGGGATAACATTGTTAGGACTACAAAATTCTTACTTTTTACTTTCCAAATGATAACTGAGTTTTTCAATTGTTAGTTTTTAAATTAAGAGAAGATATACTGCCTATAAGGTGGCTTTGGTCTCCCCCCCTCATTTTCAAATATCTGATTCATACAAGTTAAATTTGTGCAGATCATTCTAATGGAACAGTAGTATTCTATACAACAAGCATTATTTTGGCACAGTCTACAAAAAAACATATTATTCTTGCACACACACACACACACACACACACACACCCTTGCACACACATATCCGAGTAGCTCAGTGTTTAGGAGTTTTTGGGTGGAGGAGTATTAAATTGCAGAATCTTGCCATCTACACTGAAGCATCTCCTTCTTCTTGTTATAACTCTTTCTATCATGAATACCTTTACATTTTTTTGGTTGAAAATGTATTGTAGTTCCCCAAATGCTATGGATTTTATTAACTGTATTGCTGTTTCTGTTTTGTTTTAAAAGGGGAAGCCAGTTTCTCAGTAGCCGTAGCGGGGCAGCCTTTATTGGTGGCATTTGTTCACTGCTGAAAGGTGGTGGTGTAAATGAAGTATGTCGGCATTATTCTACAAACACAAAATGATAGTCCCATAATTGTCAAATTATTTCTATTTCTACTTTTATTCATACTTTGCAGTCCATGTTAAGAGATTTCCATTAAGTTCCTACTTCATGCCTTTTCCAAGGAAAAGCAACTATTGGCCAGGTCTTTCCTTTAAATGTTTGGGATTCCATAAATAGGGAAAATGCTATCAACTGCTCATCTGTGATCTGAAAAATTTCATAGAATATGCATTTTAGGCTACAACATAATATTTTAACATTTATTTTGGGGGGAAGGGAATGCTACTTCCATTTGCAGAAATGTGTACATTTTATTTACCCAACTGACTGAGGATGGAAGGCTTAAAAATTTTGCCACTTAACATGAGTCTGGTTAGAATTTTATGTTATTTTTTTTTAGTTTGATTCAATTTATTTTATTGGATAGAGACAACTTTACCCCTGTTGTTTCCATTGGTTTTTGTTAAAGCTTCTTATTCCATCCCAAATAGTAGGTATATGGAGGTTTAATTAGCCTTCTAATTTGGAATAGGAAAACTTGCCACAGCCAACATGCCACAAGACAACTCATCATGGGACAATTCAACAAATACATAAGTTAAATTAATTTTGACAGAACTATGCCCAATAGTAATAAAACTCAATCCAGAAATTCAAGAGTTACAATAATTTCGATGAAAACGTGATCACCAATAATAAAAGTAACTCAGTGTAACTCAAAGTAATTCAAACTCAATGTAATTTGCTCTAATCTTGATTGTAGGAAATATGACTTCTGCAATAGAGTAGTAAATGTCTGGAATACTCTACCTGATCCTGTTGTTAGTCTCGCTAATCCCATACCTTTTACCTTAAATTGTCTACCGTGGACCTTTAATGTTTCTTAAGAGGTCCCTAAGGGGGCGTGCATAAGCGCACCAGCATGCCTACTGCCCCTGTCTTACTGTCCCCATTTATATGTAATCATTCTATGTGTTTATGGCTATATTTTGCCTATTTATATACTTTTATTTGTGCCAATTTTTTTTCATGTGTCCATGCCTATGTCTATAATGTTACATGTTTTCTTGTATTTGTTGAGAAATAAATAAATAAATAAATAACTGAATGAAAAAAATAATGCACCGTTAAAATGTCCCATGGCAAGTTGCCTTGTGATGAGTCAGCTGTGGTGAGTTGCCCTGTGGCAAGTTGACTGTAGCGAGTTGGTCACAGTGAGTTGTCAGTGGTTTATGGCCATGGCAAGGTGTTCTAGACTGTTCTAGCTGGCTTTTTCATATATTTTTTCCTTTTATTCTTAAATTGTAAGCTACTCAGAGTTCTTGAGAATTGAGACCCCTCATAATCAAATAAATATAATAAATAATCAGAACAAAGAGTTATGGTTCAGGGACTTAGCTAGCAGTAGAGTTAACTCAATCACAGAGTTGAAACTTAATCACCTAACCCAAAGAGGTTATTACAAGCATACAGGACATTTAAAAGAAAGCTTATACAACATAATGAATATGTTTGACTCTGAGCCAAACTTATACTTAACCTTAATATTTCATCTGTCTTTGTTTTTATTGTTTTAAACAGTGCTTTGCAATTTTCTGCTAGTTTATTACTCATCTGCATTTCAAAGCATACTTTGGGGAATAAATGCCCTAGGATGGTTCAACATTTTTTGCTAATTTAAAATTTCTAAAATAGAAATGCTTCAAAGTCATTGTCTTGTTTTTCAGTTTGGAAAGCCAGATTTAATGGCTGTTACATTGGCACAGTCCTTGGCGCACAATCTTGGGATCTTCTCAGACAAAAGAAGGTTGCAAAGTGGTAAGAAATGTTGAGGTTTCAATACAGATTCTTTTTCTGGCGAAGATATTCTCATACTTTTTACTCTAACAGAGCCATTGTTAGCTTTGGTAATTAAATATGACTTTTTAAAAACGATTGCTTGCAGTGTCTCTAGGAATCCAGTTGAATTAACTGAAAAGGAACCTTAAAAATAGCACAGAACTGAAATTCTGTCCTGCTTGTATCACAGTCTTTTAATTCTAATTTGCCTTAAATTGAAAGTCTAAAAACTGCATACATTTAAACATTAAATACAAATATAGCATTGCATTGCCCATAGGAGCTCTGGTGGCTCAGCAGACTAATTAACATCCACTTACATCTGTTGCCTGCAATTACTGCAGGTTCGAATCTCGCCAAGGCTCAAGGTTGACTCAGCCTTCCATCCTTTCTAAGGCAGGTAAAATGAGGACCCAGATTATGGGGGCAATAAGCTGACTTTGTATAAATATACAAAAGTATGAAAGCTATTGCTTAACGCATTGTAATCAAATTAAAATAAAAAAAAATAAGATGTTAAGAAAAAATTCTTGGGAAGTTTTGAGATCATCTATGGCTTAAGTCACAGCAACGTTAGTTTTCAAATTGACCCCATGTCAATTATTTATACTTGTTTTGCAAAAACAAAAAGATTTTGAGAATCATTTCTACTCTGCCTTGAAAAATCTGAAAGGAATCCTTCAGATTCCTTCTTAAAGGATTATATGGATAAATGGATGTTGACATCCTAATCAATTTACCAGATTGTAACAAAAATAACAATAATGTATTTTGGGGGAAACACTTTATTCTTTGTATACTGATTGTATAAGACATGAGATGTAGCTATTGTGATACACTTATATTGCATTATGATATACTGAATACATGTATTTATATTTTGGAACAAAGATTTAAAATAAACCATGAATAATGGTATATGTTGTATTATAGGTAGTCCTTGACTTGAACATAAATGACTTCAAGATTTCCATTGCTAAGCGAGACATCTGTTAAGTGAATTTTGTCCCATGTTAACAGCCTTTCCTGCCACAGTTGTTCAGTGAATTACTGCAGTTGTTGTTAGTAACATAGTTGTTAAGTAAATCTGGCTTCTCCATTGACTTTGCTTGTCAAAAGGTCTCAAAAGATGATCATATGACCCAAGGACACTGCAACCGTTATAAATATGAGTCAGTTGTCAAGCGGCTGAATTTTGGTCATGTGACATGGGGATGCTACAACAGTCATAAATGTGAAAAACTGTCATAAGTCCCTTTTTTCTGTGCCCTTGTAACTTTGAACAGTCAGTAAATGAATGTTGTAAGTTGAGGACTATCTACAGTATATAACAAACTGCAAAAAACAGAACACAAAACAAAACAAGAAGATATCCATTCAGTCTATACAAAAATATACATACCTCAAACAAGGGTTTCATCCATTTTAGCCCAAAGGCTGGGACAATAACCAGGCTTCTGTCCCTTACTTACAGAATGCCAACAGGGTGGGACCCCCAAAGATTTTAGGGGATCTCATTCCCAGAGGGCAGGTGCCGTGACAAAGAATGCAAGCTTTCAAGTTCCCAAAAGGTGGCACTTTATGACAAAATAAGGACTTGCGCCAAATTTAAATAGTAACAAATTTGTGATAACATAATTTCATGGCTACACTGCTTCATTTTCTATTAAAACAGAGACTTACACAATTACCTATTGCAAGCTTCTATGATGATATTTATTTATTTAGTTATATTTCTTTATTTAACATATCTGATATGTGATTGCTCACTTTATATTGTAATGAGATTTGCCTATTTTATTTATTTTAGGTGAATGTAAATGTGAGGATACATGGTCCGGGTGTATAATGGGAGATACAGGGTATGAGGTTTTCTTTCAGAGATTTCTATGCAATAGAAATGTAAATTAGCAGGTAGTTATTGAATGAAAACCTGTGGCTGCTTAAAGCTCTTAACAGAAAAATGATATGCCTATTACTCAATTGACACTGATATATCAATTAGTCAATTAATGCATGGTTAATTAGCTTTGAGAGCCAATTTTGTGTAGTTGTTAAACCACTGGGTTTACACTAGATCTAGTTCACACTAGAATCTGGGAGACAATGAATTCTAGTTCTGCCTTAGAAACTAAGCCCATTGAGTGATTTTGACCCAGTCAATTTCTTTCAGAGAAGAAGAAATCATTGAAAACAATTTCCATTTTCATAACAATGTTGCTGTGAAAACTGTGTGGACTCTGCAGAAGTCAAGAGAGATTTGAAAACACAAACATAAATATTTTACATATACAGTTTTAGTATTATATTTGTACAGATGATTATGAATTCCAGGGACTGATTATTCGTAACATTAAGAAAAGAATATATTAATCTATGTTACTCCAGATATAACTCCTGGCATCTTCACTCCTGAGAATATGTAAAGTAATTCCTGATCATCTGGAGAGATATATGTTAACTACCCTTCCCTAGAGATTTGCACCTTGGTTCCTGACAGACAATTTGAAAATAATGTAGACAAATTTATGGTGCATAGGCTGCTTAACAAATATTAATTACAATAAGTGATTGAAACCTCCAGTTTTAGGGCTACTCCAGAAGCAGTATAGATCTGAATCTGGAAGACATGTGAAGATCTCTGGATTAAAAATCTCTCTGACTGGTATAGTATTATGTATTCTCAGAAGATAATATATTAGGTCCCAGCATATGAAAAGATATCCTTTCACAAAGTCTGAATCAATCATATGCCATGATTGTTGTCAGACGCTGACGATTCTAGCCTAGAAACAAGCATCCCCCAAATGCTCTCAATATATATAAAGTTTATTGTCAATATACCTATATACACAGTATACCCATACTCAATGTTGTTAGTATTCATAGTCTCCCAGAGGAAAATTCTGCAAGTTTAAACTATCATTCAGTATTTGCTCAAGGATGTTTGACTGGACACTTGTATTCATAGCACCTGTTTCATATATTTTGGTGGCAAGTGAAAGCCTATATTGTATGTATAACTTTGAATATTTTTGTATAAAGCTTAGAGAATTGTGCATTAATAAAGCCCAAGCTGAAGATTGCAACTGCATTATGCATCAACTTAAACATGTTTTTAAGTGTATCATGTAATTTGCAGATATGAATGTAGAGAAAAGAAGAGCTTAATTAAAATTATCTAGCCTAGTGTTCCAGAAAATTCAGAGTTAGAGATAGTTTTCCTATTTTTTTATATTTGGTCATGAAATAACTTAGTTATGGTCCAGCTGCAGAATGAAATTTCTTTTTAATTCTGTAGAAATGAACTGACTTATTTCTTTTTGGATCACAGTTATTATCTTCCAACCAAGTTCTCCAAATGTGATATTGAGGAATACCATGAATTTTTAAATAATGGTGGTGGAGCATGCCTTTTCAACAAGCCTTCCAAGGTAAAAACAAAAATAATTTTGTTTGCAAATTTTTCTCTTTCAGTTCTTAATTTAACAGTCTCATGACAGTTGTGTTGAAATGCTTAATTGAAGGGTTTGATAGTAAACATATGGAAGTTGTTATAATAATGCTTATTATGGTTGGTTTCACAGTCAGCCAGATTATTATTATTATTAGTGATTTTTCTAAGCTTTTTAGAAATCAAGATGCCCAAATTCTTTTGATCAAGAATGGCATTTTATGTCTGAATGGTAGCTATCCAAAAATAGTAATTAGTCACAGAAAAAATAACTAATTGCAATTCGTTTTCCTACCAAGAATCCACTGCTAATATGTGAGGACTAATATTAAAAAGATCAGAAATACCCTAAAACCAGACTAACAAAGTAAAATCTTCAACTCAGAAAAGAGGTTTTATACCATATGTACACATAAAAATAAAGCTTGAATTCACTATATATATGGCTTGGATATTATATGTGGCAGTCACTGCTATTCTTTCTTAAATATTTTTTTCTAGTTCTTGCAATATTTTTTGAATATCATACTTGCATCCTTGAATCATTGCCTGTTAAACCTAATTTTTTTAAAAAAGTTTTTGTGTTACAACACTACAGCAGGGACAATGATTTATTGTGGTCCTCGAACATTTTTCCTCATTAAATGAAAATGTGAAAATCAGGACTTGTACACAAGGGGGTGTATAGCACCCATTTCTATAATTACATCTGCATCTTTTCTGTCCATTGAAATAATGATCCTCTACCATCTGTCATTACGCATGGCAAGATGCTAATCTGTTACATTTGTAATACTTTCTTATTTTTGTATTGTAGCTCCTGGATCCCCCAGAATGTGGTAATGGTTTTGTTGAAACTGGGGAAGAATGTGATTGTGGCGCTCAATCGGTAAATTTAACATTACATAGCTAATTAGGGGCAGCTCTTCCATTTTAGTTAAGAGGCTCTTTCTAATGGTTTTAGATAAGTTCTTCAATATTGAATAGTTTGTGAAAAATGAATTCTTTGCACCCTAATGGTAGAGAGGAAAATTTCAAGAGTTGCAATTTGCAAGCAATTATTCTTCAAAAACCACGATGAGGATTCACTTCACAGCATTGTGACAGTGACTGAAACAGACTCATCATTATGATCCAGGAGCAAAGTATCAGGCCGTGAAATATTATCACAAACTTCGCCTATGGAAACAAAAATTCAAAACACAGGATTCAACAGGAAAACTCATGGCTGTCATTTTTTGAGGTGGAAGTGCTATTATTCAGATGGATTTCGTTGTAGCCTAGTACTATTATCAACCAAGAGTGCTACATTTTAACACTCAAGGCTTTGAGGCAACTTTTAAGCAGAGTCCAGAAGTGCAACAAGAAAATTTTGCTGCAGTATGACAATATACCTCATGAGTAATCCAAGAAGCAATTGCAAAACTGGAGCTCAGTCTTTTAATCCGTGTATTATAAAGTTTTTGTGCCATTCATTTCACAAAATTTTCCCTTTATGGGTATTTGTTTGACTGAAACAGATGAAAAGTAGAAAAATTAGAAAGAATTGTCAAGTCCTGGTTAAAGAGACAGTCCAGAGACATTTTGTGACAGCTTTAAGAAGCTTGTCCATCATTTACAGAAGTGTGTAAGAAATGTAACAGTGTGAAGTGTAACAAATGTGCTTACATGGAGAAGTAAACAAAGGTACCGGTAATTAAAAACTCACTTAAAGCATTATTTTTCTGTTTTCCTACAATAGTCCCAATTAAAGTTATGGAGGTGAGGGTATTACTTTTCATTCAGTCATACCATACAAATGATAATTGAATTAATGCCATCTTGAACTCCAATGTGCTCCTTCCTTGCTTCCTTCTTCACAAAAGGGAAAAAATGATCCAGGAAACTACAGACCAATCAGCTTGACATCAGTACCTGGGAAGATTCTGGAAAAGATAATTAAGCAACTCCATTTGCAAACACCTAAAAGCAAGCAAATTATAACCAGAGGCCAACATGGATTTGTCAAAAACAAATCATACTAAACAAATCTTATTTCATCCTTTAACAAAGTGACTAAATTAAAGGACCAGTAAAATACTGTGGACATAGTATACTTAGATTTCAGTATGGCATTTGACAATGTAGACCACAACCAGTGGTGGGTTGCTTCTGGTTCTGCCCAGTTCTTGCGAACTGGTAGTAAAAGCGGTGGGAGGCACTGCCCACCCGCCCGGACGTCATAAGGTACAATCTGCGCATGCGCAGAAGCTTCTGTGTGCGCGCTCCCATTGTGAACCAGTAGTAAAGGTAAGTAGAACCCACCCCTGACCACAACCTATTTCTTGGTAAGTTAGAAAAACATTGGATAAAGAGCATCACTACATGGATTTGTAATTGGCTGACAAACCACACTCAACATGTAGTCCTTAAGGTTCTGTCTTAGGTACTCATTAATATTTTCATAAATGACTTAGGGATAGAAGAGGAACTTGTAATTTGCAGAGGACACCATGCTGACAAGATTAGCCAATACTCCAGAAGATAGGCTCAAGGTCCAGAAGAATCTTGACAGACCTGAACATTGAGCCATATCTAACAAAATGAAATTCAGTGGTGAGAAAAGAAAGGTTTTATACTTAGGCAAGAAAAACCAAATGGCAGGTATAGAATATGTGAAACCTGACTCAATAGTAGTAACTGTGAGAGGATCTAGGGATCCTAGTGAACAACCACTTAATTATGAGCCAGTAGTGTGCCGAAGCCACACACACACACACACACACACACGCAAATGCAGTCCTAAGTTGCATTAACTGATGGATAGAATCAAGATCATGTGAAGTGTTAATACCACAACCTATTCTTCAAAGCACCTGAAGGCAGTACAAAAAGCAATGGATGAAAACTTAATCAAGAAAAGAAACAACCTAGAACTAAAGAGAAACTTCCTGACAATGAAAACAATTAACCAGTGGAAGTTGTGGATGCTCCATCACTGGAGGGTTTTTAAGAAGAGATTGGACAGCCATTTGTCCAAAATGGTGTAGGATCTCTTGCTTGGGAGGGGTGTTGATCTAGAGAACATCTGGGGTCCCTTCCATCTCTATTATTCTGTTCTGCTATTCTGTTATTTTTTCTGCGACCATGTATATCCATCCCATCAAGCCTAAAGAAATCTGGAATAGTATAGGATTTCCTGCCACGAGCAGGGGGTTGGACTAGAGGACCTCCAAGGTCCCTTCCAACCCTATTATTCTAGGTTCTTTTCTGGCATTCTCTCTCATGCTATCAAAATACTGCCATTGTTGTTTTCTTTGTAATCTAAAGTGTGCATTATGCCCAGAGTAGGGAGGCAAGTGAAATTTTGAGTAGCAAACATCTCAACAGTTTTCTGGTCAAGCTGCAGCTTGTGTCTGCCAAACTGCTGTTTCACCATTGGTTCCATTCCCTAGGAATGTCATGTTGAAGGTGAAGATTGCTGCAGTTCCTGCACTCTAACTGCTAACTCTCAATGCAGTAATGGACTTTGTTGTAGAAAATGTCAGGTACGTATTGAAATGATTTGGGGGAAAAACCACCTTTGTTTTAAGGAATTAGGAGATTATTTATTTAGCATATGGCATATCATAGATGGACTAGCAATATATATTGACATTTCATCTAGATTAATTAAATACAATAAAATACAAATGTTGAAAAGATCTATATTCAAATACCAATGTCTAGGCCAGTGATGGCTAACCCTTTTGTCATTGTGTGCCAAAAGTGGGGGTCACGCGCACGCGTGCCCACACCCATAATTCAATGTGCCCGCCCATGCATGCGCTCATGACGTCCCTGCGCTCCCCCCGTTTTTGGCATGTGATGGCACAGTGGGCCTGGTATGCCCGTTTTTTGCCCTTCTCAGACTCCAGAGGCTTTCTTGCCTCCCCCCCCCACAGAGGCCCTCCGGAGGCCAGAAACGGCCCGTTTCCCAACTTCCAGTGGGACTGGAAGGCCCGTTTTTCACCCTCCCCAGGCTTCAGAGGCTTTCTAGGAGCCTGGGGAAGATGAAAACGGCCTCCCCCCCCCTCGAAGCCCTCCAGAGGCCAGAAACAGCCTGTTTTCTGACTTCCGGTGGCCCCAGAAGGCCCAAAAATCAGTTGGCAGAGCTGAGCTAGGACAACGCTCGCATGCCCACAGATATGGCACCATGTGCCACCTGTGGCACGTGTGCCATAGGTTCGCCATCACAGGTCTAGGCCATCTAACCATTGAAGCACAGCATTATTTATATGAAAAAAAAATCAGATACTGGACTGGTATATTCCTTCAGTTTAGCTGGTCACAATGTGATCTACAGTTTGACATGGGACTTCACAGTTGCACTATGCCCCATTCACATAGAGAGTCCCGGTAGACCTCATGTGAGGTGTGAATCCTATTCAGGATTGTCCATTGACATTTTTTTGGGTGAGGTCATTTATATGTCTTCCTATGTCTGGGTGTGCAGAGAGCCATTTTGGGTTTCCATTGGGAATCAATGTTAAAGTTGTTGGGCTGTGCAAGTGCTAATGGGGCTTCCCGGATTTGAATCTTCTGGCTGTAGTATGAAGCTAGTTGCCTCCCCATGGTGCACCCTTGTTAGCATGACAGTGTGAAATAAACGAACTAGCAACTGCTGTCCGTAGACTTTCCTGGCTCTCAAAATACATGGCAACAAAAACAAAAAAGTGAGATGATGAAATGATTTAAAAATAATCTCATTCAATACAATGCCAAGATATATAAACTCTACCATACAAAATGCCAAAGGGCGATCAAGGATTTTTTTTTTTACTTTTTTTTTCTATGCATGTTAGATATACATCCATGTTTTTATATAAGAATTCAAGAAATTATACATGGTGTTTCCCCCTAACTTTGCTGATAACAGGTTTGTTGAAGTACTCTGGCCGAAAGTCATCCAGCAAGCTTTGGTGTTACACTAGTCTAATACCTTAATCACTACACTATAAAAATGGCACTGGCTATTTTTATGATTCTGGTGTATAAAACTTTGTGTTAACTGAAATGTATTGACGTTGTAAACTATGTAGAGAAGATTTTCTCAATAATAGAAATTATATGAATATAACTCTCATAAATATAGAAGCATCAGATTAAGGAAGTTACTGATAAATTTGTAATAAAAGGGTAAAAATTTATCTAATTTAATTCACAAAAATTGGATGGATACATTTTAAGGCTGTGAAGGAAAAGAACAACCTCATAACTGCCAAAACTCCAAGCCTTTTCTTTCTGTGTAAAATACCTTAAAATAATGCCCCGCTCACAAATTGAAATGGTTTGCTGTTACATCTGATCTAGTTTACCTTGTCAAGAGTAGATAAAGTTAGCTTCAGACAAATATGTTTCTTTATGGTTAAACAATTTAATTACACAAGAACTGGAATCACAAAGATATTCTAAGCATATGATTGTTAATACAAATAACAATGTGAATATGGTGTGCTGATCTTGTTATAGATTATCAACCAATAGACTGATTTTTTTAAAGACTGAAAATCTTAAACTGAACATTTGGGAATCGTATCTTTAATTATGTGAGTGGTATTGAGAATTTCCAGTAAACTCTAAGTAAAAACATTATTTATAATATCTAGATTCAAACAATTTCAAATATATAGATGCCCCAACATATTTATTTTTCAGTTTGAACTTAAAGGTGTGGTTTGCAGAGAAGCTGTAAATGATTGTGACATTCCAGAGACATGCAAAGGGGACTCCAGTCAGGTAAAGCTCATTAAAAAAAGAGGAAAATATAATTTTTGGAGAAGTTTTACAGGTAGTCCTCAACCTATTGAGTCAAAGTTTCTGTTGTTAAGCGAGACATTTGTTAAGTGAATTTTGCCCATTTTATGACCTTTTTTAACCACAGTTGTTAATTTAATCCCTGCAGTTGTTAAATTAGTAACATGATCATTAAATGAATCTGGCTTTCCCATTAACTTCGCTTGTGAGAAGGTCGCAAAAAGTGATCACATGACCCTGAGACACTGCAACTGTCATAAATATGAATCAGTTGCCAAATATCTGAATTTTGATCATATGCCAATGGAGATGCTGGTATAGTTGTAAATGTGAAAAATAGTCATAAGTCACTTTTTTTCCAGTGCCATTGTAACTTTGAATGTTCACTAAACAAATTATTGTAAACTGAGGACTACCGATATTTAATGAAAAGCAAGATTTGGGAAACTTTTAACAAATTAATTTTAGATATTACAGTTATCACAGGGTTGATTATTTAATTCATTCTGCTTTATCTTTAGTGCTCCCCAAATCTCTACAAAATAGATGGGTATTCATGTGATAATGAACAGGTATGTACGATGTATTTGATTTTTATTATCAGAATATAAGGCAGACTGTATCCTAAGACCAAGCTGAGATTCTGCATTCATAGTTTTCACCAAAGAGTCCTGTCTGTGATTGATTTGGTACAATGGGAGCTTTCAATAATAGACTGATATTTTCTTCTTACAATGAAAAGAATAAACATGTGACTTGAGTTTAAATATTGGGTCAGGACTGTCATGTTACTCCCCAGCTGGTTTCCTGTTGCTGAAGACAAAATTTCAGTCCTTCTCATTATGCAGGACCCCTGCCTTATTGTTTGCTCATTGTTTGAATCAATTCCGCATGTTTATTGATGGTTCTTTTTTCTCTCGCTAACTAGAATGCAAAATAGATCTCTGCAAGGTCTGTAACCAAGAAAAAAAAAACCCTTCATTTGCTAAGCGACACTAAGCTAACAGAGACAGTCTTAAATATATAGCACTCATTATGCATGTTGGCGATACAAAATTGATGCATTAATTATTTTTAATGATTAATGGCATATATATATATATATATATATATATATATCCCTATATGAAGAGAAATAAAAAAAGCTGAACAAGTTGTACTTGTTGAAATCTATAACTGGTTCCGCTTAGAATGGAAAGATAACATGTATTTCAATGATGACCACCAGATGGCAGTACAAGTCTAGTAAATAGCATCTGGCTTTGAGCTCATAACCTTTCTGTGTGCTTCTGATCAAATGGAAAATTCTTGTCAAAGCCTTAGCAATCAGCAGTTTGACCTAAATGGGATGTTAGAATTCATAACCATTTCTCTTTCAATATAAAAGGAGAACATCTCTATCAGTATCGTTCTAACAAAACTCTTTTTCAGATGACCATAGAACCGGTCAGAAGCTTACAATGCCTCACCCTTATTGTGAACCTACAATAACACAAAAGCCTGTTCATTCTGCCAAACGATAGAAAAACGATCATCCTGCAGCTTGTCATCTGTTTTCAGTATGCAAGGCTGTGGGAAGGAGGCAGGAAGGATAAGTTAAGTTGGTGCAAGAAAAGGCAGTACAGCAGTGGTGGTTTTCAAAAATGTTTACTACCGGTTCTGTGGGCGTGGCTTGGTGGGCATGGCAAGGGAAGGATACTGTAAAATTTCCATTCCCACCTCACTCCGGGGGAAGGTACTGCAAAATCTCCATTTCCTCTCGATCAGCTGAGACTCGGGACGCAGAGAATAGATGGGGGCGGGGCCAGTCAGAATTTTTACTACCAGTTCTCCGAATTACTCAAAATTTCCCAGATATGAGGGTTGTGGTAAGAAATCATTTCAAAGAGACTCTGACTTAACTGGCTCACTATGTGTCTGCCCAAGAATTTACTTTTACAGTTTTAAAGGTTATATTTTCACTCCTGACTAGCATTGAAAATTTATGTTTGTCAGCTATATGCAGCAGCGCGGGTAGTGACGGGAGCAGCATGGCGCTCCCATGTAACACCGCTCCTGCGCGAGCTGCACTGGCTCCCAGTGGTTTTCCGGGTGCGCTTCAAGGTGCTGGTTATCACCTTTAAAGCGCTCCATGGCATCGGGCCTAGTTATCTTCGAGACCGCCTGCTGCTACCGACGACCTCCCATCGTCCCGTGCGCTCCCACAGAGAGGGCCTCCTCAGCGTGCCATCAGCCAATCAATGTAGGCTGGTGACCCCCAGGAGGAGGGCCTTCTCTGTGGGGGCACCTACCCTCTGGAATCAGTTGCCCCCAGAGATAAGGAGAATCCAAGACCTTAGTGCCTTCCGCCGTGCCCTTAAAACCCACTTTTTCCAGCAAGCCGGGCTGGCTTAAGAAGAAATTTTAAATGTTTTAATTGGTTTGTATTTTTAATTTTGGGCCAAATTTATATATATTTTAATTGTTTTTTAATATTTGTATTTTATGTTTTTTAATTCTGGCTGTACACCGCCCTGAGTCCTCAGGGAGAAGGGCGGTATATAAATTTTAAATAAATAAATAAATAAATAAATAAATAAATAAATAAATAAATAAATATGGAGCTTGATGTTCAGATGATGAACTCTCATAGTCTCATTATGTTTCAAAGTTAGCTTATCATCTACATAAACTCAATATCATTTCTCTTCCATTTTCCCCACGGATGCTTATCTCCTTCTGGCACCTAAAACCTCAGAGAACTTCAAGATATTTAGCAATCCCAACAAAGTCAACGAGGTCTCTCATGGACAATAGAGAGATATATGACCCTCTTTCTAGATCCAGTTCACTATAGAAGCCATCCCTGGGATGAGGATATACTGTCTAAGTTAAATAGCCCAAGGAATCTGAAAATGAGAAAGCCTAAAAGACCATAAATGTTCTGGAACTATAAACAGCATGATTTTCTTTGGAGGAGTTCCCCCTAAAAGGCTGTACATCCTCCTCTGATAGACCATGTGATTACCAAAATTTACATCAGGAAGGAGGGAGATAGCGGACACAAGAGTGAGATTTTAGTGAATAGAGATAATTGAACCTTTGAGCAGTGGTGGGTTACAATTTTTTTTACTACTGGTTCTGTGGGCGTGGCTTGGTGGGCGTGGCAGGGGAAAGGATACTATAAAATCTCCAATCCCTCCCCCATCCAGGGGAAGGTTATTGCAAAATCCCCATTTCCTTCCGATCAGCTAGGACTTGGTAGGCAGAGAATAGATGGGGGTGGGGCCAGTCAGAATTTTTACTACCAGTTCTCTGAACTACTCAAACTTTCCGGTACCGGTTCTCCAGAACTGATCAGAACCTGCTGAAACCCACCTCTGCCTCTGAGGATTATGATGTGTTTGAATTGTATTCTTTAGAAGTCCAGTGATGGATCGCCTAGCAGTTTCCATTGTAACATGTTATGAAAATTGAAGAAAAAATAGACATAAGTAATCAAGACATAGAAGACAAGTCCGTTCACAGCTTTTCTCATAAAAGACAACTCAGCCCAGGCTGCAAGAACTAGAAACTGAAATATATTTGAATATAAGTAAAAACTGGAAATAATTTTTTCAAATAAATCAAAGGGACTCCTCATACAATATACAAGTTTATATAAACTAGCATTAAAAACATAAAATCTCTGCAGTTTATGTTTTCTTGATCTTGTCCAAAGGTTTAATATTCAGCATAGGACTCAGGGGTGAAATGCTCTCAGTTCGGACCGGATCACCCAATCCGGTAGTGATGGAGGCGGGTGGTTCAGAGCAAAAATCCCTGCCCCCCCATTGCCCAGCTGAGCCGCCACAATCATCAGAGGCTTTTTTAAAAAAAATTTTAAAAGCATTTTTTCTATAAGCTCTTTGGCTGAAAAAATGCTTTTAAAAATAAAAAAAAAAAGCCTCTGATGAACACGCGGCTCAGCTGGGATCATCAGAGGCTTTTAAAAGCATTTTTTCTACAACCTCTTCAGCTGAAGAGATTATAGAAAAAATGTTTTTAAAAGGAAAAAAAGCCTCTGCCAATCAGGCAAGTCAGCTGGGATTGTCAGAGGCTTTAAAAAAAAAAAGAAAGCCTCTGCCGATCAGGCAAGTCTGCTGGGATCGTCAGAGATTTTAAGAGTATTGTTTTTACAACCTCTTCAGCCAAAGAGGTTGTAGAAAAAATGGTTTTAAAAGTAAAAAAAAAAAAAAAAGTTGGCCATGCCCACTCAGTTATATTATCCCCCCCACCAAAGCCACGCCCACAGAACCGGTAGTAACAAATTTTACATTTCACCACTGATAGGACTTACTAACCATCAATCACAAGATGGAGCAATTCATTTCATTTTCTGATCTATGGAACCGAAGCAGTGAATATCTTCAGTGCCACCTGGCCCAGCAATAGTTGCTTGGCACTGATGTTTTGTAGCATATGAGCACATATTTGTTATTGTTAATTAAAAATAATAATAAATAAAGTATTACATTCACTTAACACAGGTTTTGAAGAATATATTGGCAGTCATGTTGTTGCTCTTAGGTACCATATTGGGAATCTAGTTAGTTGGAATAAAAGAGTTTCAAAATACCAAAGCCTGGACTTTGGGACAATTATGGGATTTCAGACAGACTGCAAAAATACTATGAACAGGGTTTGGCTTTTTAAACTGCTTTAAATCCATTGAACAAAAGACAGCTAAATATAAATAGGGTAATTGAATAGCTCTTGAAAGTATGATACTGTTCTAAACTATTTGATATATTAAGAAGATAGTAATTATTATTATTTTAAAAAATCATCAATTCAAAGCTAAATGAATTTACTGGTGAGAAAAAGGTTACATTCAGATTGTGCTAGGTATTTATGTTTCTGGGAAGCTGCCCAACATTGAATTAGTAAGTGAGAGAACTCAGTCCTAAATCCAATCAGTAACAGCAATTACAGCCCTTAGAGCATTTACAGTTCTTGTTCTGTGAATTTACAATAATTTGTTCTTAGTTCCACTGTTTTTTTTTTTGCAGAAAATGAAAACTTGGAGTCATAATTCTTGAGTATGTTTAAGCAAAATACAAGAAACATACAAGAACATATAAGAAATAATACAAGAACATAGAAATACCTATGTATTCAGTATCATCTCAGTTCCTCTGTAACAATAAGTAGAGAAAGGGAATTATTTTCTAATCTTGTTGTATGCCACTCAAGGGTTGTGAGACCAGGGACATAAAAATTAATTAAATAAATCACTTTTCTGGATCTGATGGTGTTTTGTTTTGAATCTTTAAGCATCTGAAATTAACAATTTATAAACCTAAAGAAATTTTATGTTAAGTCTGCAATCCTGAATCTCACTAAACACAGTCAAACTGACTTTGGCAGCACATTTTTACTTCATAGGTAGAAAAATAGATAAGCAATGGTTGTTTATTGAACAAATATTTACAAAATATGGTGATTACTTTCTAACATTTTTCTTTAGGGCATTTGTTTTGGAGGAAGATGCAAAACCAGAGACAGACAGTGTAAATACATATGGGGAGATAGTGAGTAATATCTTGAAATTGTGTGCTTTCGCTTTTTTTGAAAACTCATTGATTAGGTATTGAATATATTCACAGGTATACAATATATACATATTGTATGTTTTTTCCTCCTCCCAAAATTTGGTACCTTTCCAGAACTTGGCCAGATTTCATCAGGACAATATTGTTCAAGAGGTGGTTTGGCAGTTCCTGGAAATAGATTCTCTTAAAAGGCAGTGAATTGAAATGGTCTGAAGATAGTTGAGACCCAGAACAAACCTGTTTCATCCATGTCTATGATACTTCAAACGGGTCGAAGAATTTACTTTCAGGAACTGCCTAACCATCCAATGATCCAGAGGGAGGAATGGAATAATCTGGAGTTCTCAAAAATGTTCCATTTCTGAATTGATGAATTTTGCACATCATCTACTGCATTTTGCCATTTTCTCTGAGCAACTGATGAATTTTGCTCTGTCTTATCTTAAGAAAATTTAAGAAATTTATCTTATCTAAAAGTCCTTGTTCTTAGCATCATTTGGCTACCTCAGCAAATTCTTTCCTTTTCCTGATGCCATCCTGCAGTTCCAGGATAACTTTAATTATGAACGTTCCTCTTTATACTGTTAGGTGTTTTCAAGCCTTCATTAAGCGTGTTGGTTTTTTTCTGTCTTCCATTCTTTTTAGCCTAATTGGAATTATTGTCAATTGTGTTTTAGGTCTCCATTTTAGAAAATCCCTCCTCTTCAGTTCTTTTTCCCATTAGTTTTCCCTGAGAACCTATTTATCTATGTTCTGAGTTTATTAAAATTCATATATATGGAGACAGAGGACTTTCAGCCATCAGGTAAATCTATAAAACACTTTAAACTGGAGTAAAAAATAAATTCAGTAGAACTAGATGAAACATTTGCTCTTTCATTTTCTTTTCCTTTCAATATTTCTGGTATTCTGACTATGGCATAATGGAACATTAAGTTGACTGCAAATAAAGATCAGGTTGGCAGAGACTAGGTTAGATGGCATCTTTTTAGATACAAATTCTTGTGTGCTTTTTATGCTCCAGCAGTTTCTTATATTTTATTTTTATATGTCTGTAAGAAAGATAATTGAGAGTATATAATTTGTGGCTTTAACACGAATATTTACATTTACAATGTTGAATTTCTAACTCTAACCACACATCATTATCTTTTTAAATATATTTTGTGTGCAGAAGTGACATCTGCTGATAAATATTGCTATGAAAGATTAAATATAGAAGGAACAGAGAAAGGTAGCTGTGGCAGAGACAAAGATACTTGGATTCAGTGCAAGAATGAGTAAGTTAAGCCCACTTAATTTACATAAGTAAGTGCTTACATAATATAGTATTTGTATTTGTGTTCTATCGTGGTTCATAAGCTTCTTTACAAATATTCCTTTTCACTTTTAAACCTTTATGTTAATCTATGTAATAGTGATTCTTATTCTCACTGCATTTCTTGTAGCATCTTTGTTCCTCTAGTGCTTCTCTACCACCCAAAATGAATAATTATTAAATTGGATGACTAGAATCTTGTGACTTTGTTTACAGTGGATCTTGATACTCCATTAACGGCAGGTTGTGTATAGTTACTACAAATAGCATTAAGATTGTACTTCTGAACACAGGTCTATAGAGTCCTGTAGCCTAGAGTGTTACCCATGCACCTATTCACATCTTTTACTTTTGTTTACCAGAAAAGGTCAGGCTTCCAGGAAATGAAGCTTCAAGATTCAGTTTTGCTTAATCTCTTTTTTCTTCTTCAGACTTTCAGAGTAGCATAGATCTAGTTTGCATTATTATGGGATAGGTGATCAGATAATTACTTTGTAGGGTATCAGAACTCTTGTCAAGTTAATAATGAAAGAAAAGATCCACACTTTTATAAACGGCCAGAAGATGCACCAACTTTTTAATGGGGAAGACAGGGAAAAAGGAAAAGGAACAGCAAAATGTGTGTGTGCGTGTGTGTGTGTGTGTGAGAGAGAGAGAGAGAAACGAGGGAGGTAGAGAGAGGGGTGGGGGGTCTTTCCAATGATATCCTGTATTGCATACCCCCTGATTTGTATAGATCTCAGCCATAATCTAAATCAACATTGTTCACTGAAGATAATTCTGCAAATTAGAGAATTATAATGGGGATTTCAGAGTGAGTAGCAAGCAGTATTACCACTGTTAGATTCTTCTGCAACCATTAAAAAAAAAAGTATTTCTTGGAATAGAAAATTATAGTTAGAAATATTTATTTTAGGCTGTTTTTAAAGTAACGACTTGCTTAATGTTTCTTCCCAGAGATGTTCTTTGTGGATATCTACTGTGTTCTAACATTGTCTCTAATATTCCAAGACTTGGAGAGCTTGATGGTGAAATCACATCTATTTCTCTTCAAAATTTGGGAAAAACTTTCAATTGCAGGTAATCCTTGGCAACAGATATCTCTTTATTTCATGGCTACAATTTCTATGTACTTTTTAATCTTAGATTTTAAAAAAAGATAAAATTTGTTATTTCCTCACCTTCTCTACCTTTTTACATTGGGTCGCCTAACTTTATTCCACCACCCCCCTAAAATACTGAGCAGTAGACCAATTGTGTTCATTGGCCTTCTTTTAACTAAAGTTAATTAAATTCACCATATTCCCAACCATCTAAATTATAAAGTACAAGAATACCTGATGTTTCTCCTAACAATTTAAATTCTACTTTCTGTTTCTTTCTTTTAGTCCAGGATTTTTAGTAATATATTCTGCATATAAATTAATTAAGATGATAACATACAATCTAGGCACACTTTTTTTTCAATTTAGAACTATGTAGTTGCTCTAATTATTGCTTTCTGGTTATCCTACAAGTTCCTCAATAGGATGTAGAGGTAACTTGGTACAGTATACTCATATTTTTAACAACTACCCACAATTTGTGGTGTAGTTAAAGATCTCTATCATTGAAGAAAAAAAATAGATATGTTTTGGAACTTCTTTGCCCTTTTTATTATTAATTGCAAGTGATGGGATCTCAGGTATTTCTGCCTCTTCTGTATTTGGTATCTGGAAATTCTCATTCTATATTTTGTTGAAGCCTGTACTGCAAAATCAAGCATTATCTATCTAATATGTGAGATAGATGCAGTTGTTCAACAATTTGAATATTCATTAGCACTGTCTAATTTTGGTATTAGAATTATCTTTTCCATAGTTGGCTTACGAACTACAAGTAGAACTTTAATTGCATCGTTTTGGAAGATTTTAATCAATTTGGCTGAGGTTTCATCAACTCCTGCAGCTTTGCTGGCAATACTTTCTAGGGTCTGTTTAACTGGATGTTCCAGAATATGTGGCTCTATTCCAATGATCTTTACACATATTATCAATGTTGTGATTTCTTGGTTTCCCTATACAACTGCATCAACTTTTTTGTATATTTTTCCTTCAGAAGATCTGTCTTTTTTGTTTTTTATCATGCTCAGCCAATCTTGCCCATCTAGGTGATCTTCTGTGAATATACATTCCCACAGTATAGTTTATAACCTTATTGTAATGTGTTACTTTTCATCACAGCAAGCTAACAATCCACGAAGTTGTCCTTACAACCCTGATATTCCATGGACTGATCCATCTTAACTTCCATGGCCAGACAAGGTCAGCTAGACACAGTGACCTACTAAGACTTGTATAGTTACAGATGGACGTAATATCTTAATATAAAATAATTTGGTTGAGTTTTTGTTCAAAATGATTTTCATTTGGCAAAATGTTTTCATTAACTAAATCTTCTTACTCTATTTGTAGTGGTGGTCATGTGAAGTTGGAGGAAGATGCAGACCTGGGTTATGTAGAAGATGGGACACCCTGTGGTCCTAATAGAATATGCTGGGATCATAGATGTCTCTCAATGGATACTTTTAACTTCAGTTCCTGTCCCGGAAGTACAGATAGCTTTATTTGCTCAGGACATGGAGTAAGTTTAGTCTTTTTGTCTTGAGATGGGAGAGTTCGAATGTGCAAGAAATATGACTTATTTATTCTTTTTGGATATTTAAAGAAGCCCAGTAATGCACCAGTACATGGATGAAGAATAATGATTCAAGTGCCTTTAAGCTGAGCTCACTTCCTAGTGATTACACCAACTGGTACCCAGTCTATATAGTTTTCTTTGCTCAGTATAGAAGCAATTGTTATGGCCTTTTTCTATGAGCTTTTTTTTTTTACTACCCAATTTAGAATATAACCCTGGGATTATACTTCAATGCTGCAGTAAATCTTTAGCACAAATGAATCTTTCCATCCCTTGTAGACAAGAAATGCCTTTAAAGACATTCCAAAATAAATGGTGTAAACCTGGGAGTCATCTATTAACAATTCAGTTTCAGGCAGTAGTTCTAAAAACGAAACGGAAGCTTTCAAATGAAGATGTGAAAACGTGCATAATTGTGTTTGCATGCATCATGTTCCTTTGAGAAAGTTTATTTCTGACTGATCAAGAGTGCCTCTTATAGGGAGTGATAATTTCAGCATATTAATTTTTGTATTGCACAGAAGAGACTTGTCAGCGTTCCAAATTATGATCTCTTTCAGTGCTGACATGAAATCATGAAGGACAGAGAAAGACCTGCTTTAATGCTGGGATGAACTTTCACCTAGTTCCTGCCTGTTCATCAGATAGCGTTTCTTGGGAAACAGAGGGAGGGGTGAAATTCCTGTGAAAAGAAAGTGCATGGGACGAAGAGATGGATCTGCATGGTGGCCAATGAGACATTGGGGTTGAAGGACGGAAAGGGAGGGGTTTGGAAGGAGGTGCCAATCTTGGCTGCAACAGAGTTCAGGCATGTCGTTTTTTCTATCCTTAAATAAAAGAGATTCATTAGAGACTTTGCGTTTGAGAATGAAGTTTATTTAAGATAGCAACGAAACCTGACAAGAATAACTTTGCCCCCATAAACACTTTCCCCCCAATATTCTTAAATATGTTATTCAGTACCCCTAGTTTATATTCCCTTCTCTTAAAAAAAAAATAGCTTGCCAGTTAAACTAATAAGATCATCAGTTTAGAGGTGAATAGTGTTTTTGGTTGAGGCCATTACTTTCAAAATACTTACAATTTTCAACATCTGAGAGCTATAGGAGCCATTACATAGTCATAAGCAGGAATGATTTTTTTTCTGATTTTTTTAAAAAAAATATTTAGCGGAAGCTAAAAAAGTAGATGTTCTGGATTTTTAATATAAAGAAAACTTTATATTAAAGACCAAAGCAAACTCTTGAAAACTTGCCACCTAAATGTAGTGGAGAATCCTGAAGAAACTCTATAGATTCCTGTAATGGGAGTGAAGGCCACATGAGGACTATGAATTAATTTGGTTTAATGGTTAAGGTATCAAGTTAGAACTGGGAGACCTTGAGTTCTAGTCCTGCTTTAGGCATGAAAGCAATTTGGGTGACTTTGGGCTAGTCAATTTACTCTTGTGGGGAAGATAGGAGGAAGACATATTAGATATGTTAGGAAACTTCTTGGATGAGAAGCGAAATGTGTTCAAAGAAAACCAGAAAGTCTAGTTGCCTTTTGAAAAAGCACCTTTGGGACAACCATGACCTGGATGACTTGAGAATCTCCATAGACATTTAAGTATTAGGTATGTTTGCCTCCTTGAATCATTTATAAAACTAATAAAAGTGGATGTAAACAAACAAAATGCATTGTAGCTTATCCATCCATGGTCAACTGATTAAATATGGGAGATTATAATATGTTATTTAAAATTCAGTACTTTAGTTTCTTAGATTCCCAGGAAACATATATTAGGATTTTTCTGTTTTAAATTTGAATTACATCCTTTGTAGGTTTGCAGTAATGAAATGCAGTGTGTCTGTGAGCAGTTATGGACAGGTGTAGATTGCAGCAAGCGTCTCATGAAACCAATTATTGATGGAAGCTTGCACAATTCAGGTGTGTTATATACATTTTGTGGCAATATGACAATTCATGTGAAATGCCTTGTACATGATCTGTACAGAAATAAGGGTACTGATTCTTCATTTAGCATTTTAAGGAAAGAATTCTCTATCAAATTTTAGTCTTGATCAGATATAGTCTCACTTACATTGTTACATATAGAATTAGAAAGAATAACAACCCATAACCATTTTTGATCCTTGCCAGCTTGAATCCTGTGTAGCTCACTGTTCACTTAGGTATCCCAGAATTTCCCCCCCTCAAAATTTTACATTAAAAGAAAAAAAGATTGTGCAATTTTAAGTCGGTTTCTCCAATAGTAATGCATTAAATTCTTGTTTTCGTTTTAATCTAGGTGTCACTAGCACAAATATTATTATTGGTGCTATTGCTGGTACAATTTTAGTGTTGGCTCTTATTATGGGAATAACAGCATGGGGTTACAGGTAAGTAATTTATATATAGAGAAAAAAATGTAAGCTAAGAAATAAGCTAATGGTTGGCAACATTTGTTAATGAAGAGTAAAACACATTGGTTTCTCCAGTTAGAAAAAAATAGTAAGAAAGCAGGAAATGTAATAATTTATTTCTTAATTAGATTTAAAGTTCTAGTTTGTGAATAAATAAAAAAAAATCTTCATTTTCAAATATATATCTATTTTTAAATAGATCCAATGAAGAAAATATTAGTGGAGAATTAAAGAACTGATATGATCTTAATTTTAAAAGTATAGAAATCTGTCTCATTGGATGCAGAGGCATTGTATTTGGATCTAAAATTTTAAATTCTGTATATAATATTAAAACTACTATACAATTTTGAAAATAATGCTGAAAATGTTAAGAAAAAACTCCTTTCTTGATATTACCAACAGAAGCTGATTTACAATAGTTTCAAAAAGGGCACAAAACCCCTTTTATATAATGTGTAACTAACAAAATTTGCTGCAGTGGATTATAGAGACGAAGATGAGGGAAAGTGACAGAATAATTCTATTGACAAATGACTTTCCAGCAAATTATTTGGTCCCAGTGCTTAAGTTTTAAGATCTTAAAAGAAAAAATGGTTGATCCATGTAGAACTGCTAAGCATAGCTAGAACTTTAATTTTCTGAAAGCATCAAAATCATGTCATCTAAAAAATTGAAATATCAGTTGTTGGTAGGGTTTTAGTTGAAGTTCTGCTTTTCCAGAAGTATTTGTTTTGTCACTGTGGACATCAGAATAATTGACTAGTGTTCCAGATTTCTAGAGCTCATAAATAACAGTCATGGTGCACGAATCTTTGGTTTCAATAGGTTTCTTGCATTCAAGGTTTCTGAATTCCACTGAATTCCACGCTAAAGATCTCTTGATAGGTACCAGAGGAGAACTATGATTTCTTTAAATTTAGGAAAAATGAAATTGTATGAGTTCATATTCTTAGTCTTTGGAAATGTTGTTGAATATAAAATTGAGACTCCTTTGAATGCCCTTGTCAAACAGAAAAAATGTGTCTCTTAGTTTTTCATGGCAGCAGCATATTGTTTTTAAACATAATAAAATTAGATTCAAAAATCAAAAATAATTAATATCTACTAGCATTTTCTTTGATATATTGTGAATTTTTGAGCTTGGTTCCTTAGAATTGCTTATAAGAGTGAGATCTGATCTCAAACAACAACTTCCTACATAAATTCTCATCTTGTTCCTGAAGTTCTCATAAATTTCTAAAACAATTTTTTTGGTGTGCACATGATGGGAGAGGGTGGGTGGATTAATGGTGTAAGATACTATCGTATGAAGGAAAATGTAAGATTGCCTCCTTCTTCTCAGAGATTATGGGATCCAAACATTTCTTTAAAACACTAAATAAAGTGAAAGCAAATGCCACGCGATAACTCATTCTTTGTCTCTCTTCCTTTCTCTTGTAAGAAACTATCGAAGACAGAGGTATGTGCAAATAAAGTATGACCATATTGATTCAGAATGCTTGAAATAAAAACCCCTGTTTCTTACGTATTAGGGGGTATGGATACTTAGAGACATTTGTGTGAATCAAAGTGCCACATATCACCTTTATGTTCCACTGAAAGTCCTGTTTATTTGTGGACTTGTCACCAACAAATAACCTAATTTAATTGGTCTCTTTTAAAATTTTTAGTACTTCCTTCCCTTGGATTTATATTTTTTATTATAATTTTTGTTCCTTAGCAATCAAAATGCTGAACATTTATCCCTAGACAGCCATCCACAAAAGTATAATATCTTAAACTTGCTAATTGTCAAGGTGCCACTAGACATTGTAGATACAGTAGATTAATAAAGACAATTTTTCCTCAAAACCAGAGCCAGTTAACTGATATCAGTAGTTATTGACTTCTCAAACACTTTAGATTATTAGGACTTCTAAAGAGTTTCCTGTTGAATATATGAATTTGCCTTTACTAGTTTTTATAATTTTTTAGATTTATTTATTTATTTATTCATTTTTCAGATTTCTATACCGCCCTTCTCCTTTCGGACTCAGGGCGGTGAACAGCCAAAGTAAAACATTTGTACACAAAAGTTAAAATAGATTTAAAATAATTAAATAAAGTTTGGCCCATAATTTAAAATATTTCAATTCAAAACCAATTTCAAATTTTAAAAACCCACCATAAAATCAGGACAGCCCGGCTAACTGAAAAAAATAGATTTTAAGGGCCCGACAATGGAGTCAATTCAGATAGTTATATATGATTTCACTTCCAGCTGGTATCCATCATGTTTTTTTTAAATCATGGCTTTTTTTTTTTTAAGTCAGAGACATGTAGAATAAGGATCAGATATACTATCTTGAGTCTGATCTGATTTCATGTCTCTACTCAGTGTAACTTCTGAAGTTGCATATTGCAGGCATTCTTCCATTCACTCTGGAATGTTGTCGGCAAAAGAATGCTTTTATATAGAGAAACAAATGTTTATTTAAGAAATGAATACAATTTAAAATATGATACTGAGCGAAAACTAATTTTGTGTTCACTATAACCAATAAGACTGCAAAAATATAGGGGCAAAAAACCCAATGAGTTTGTCAAGCTATTGCTATGAAAATTGCACCATTTCAACCTGTTTTCAGTCCAATAAAGTTCTAAACATCATTTTTGGTTTAGCATTAAACTGAGTATCCCTCAGGAAACTACCTCAAATGCAATTGGCTTTATTACTATTTATTGTATAGTTTAAAATGCTGTATCACCTCTTTCTGAAATAACATCATTTAACTGTTTTTTGACTGCATGGAAAACTCAAATACGTTTCATTGCAATTTCTGTAGTGTATTTTAATTTTTTTTTTAAAAAAAAATCCTCAGTGTTCAAATGAATGTCATGGACAGAAGTCTGGAATATATTTTATTTATATAGCTATGCATTTTTACAAACAAACAATCCTAGTGGTTCTGTTGCTAAGGAGATAGGAAGAGTATTCTTTGTTGCATTTTTTTTTAAAAAAGGTGCAAGTGATCTTTTTGGTTTTGAGGACTGGAAGCATAGAAAGATCTCTTGTCATAGCCAGTTACTTATAGATAACATCCATACAAGATTAAGAAATAGCAAAACTTTTTAAACAGTTTATATCGATTATCCAGGAAACTGAAGGGAAACAAAGATGTCTGCAGTCATTAAATGGGAAAGAAGCAGGAAAATACATGTTTTAGCAGGATTCATTACTCCATTTCTAGGGAAATCTAACTTAATTTCATAAAATTATCTCCTTTAAATATAAAGAAGCTTAACCCATTTCATTGGTGCATATTACACATAAACATTTTAGAAACTGCAAGATTAAACAATTATGTATTTTAGAAATACATTTTTGTACTATAGAATATATGCCTATTTTCCTCTATCACCTGTCTTATTTGTGTGATTGTGAGATAAAATAATTTAACCGCTTGCTAACTCTTTTTTCTTGACTGGAGAGAGAGATAGTGAGTAAGTCAATGTATTTTCAGCCTATGCATGTATTCTGTTGTTACTGACTTCAAAATGTTTATTATGCTTTAGACAAATTCCTCAGGGAGATTATGTTAAAAAGCCTGGTGAGGCCGACTCCTTTTATAGCGACATGCCACCTGGAGTCAGCACAAACTCTGCATCTAGTTCTAAGAAGAGGTCTGCTTTTCTGTCGCATTTTCAGATTTCTACCTGTTCCATCACACATTATTCCATTAGTCAGAACCTTTCATTGTTTTGCAGCAGGTTTGATTCCTTCTTTCCTTCCTTCTTTTTGTGGGCTGTGTTGAAATTCCTCCATCTCTGATTACTGACTCTTGCACCACAAATATTGATGAAAGTAAGCTTCAAGGAAATTTTAGGTTGTGAGATTATTTCTGATCCTACTTAAAAACAAAACAAAGCAAAACAAAAGCCACGGGAATGCTCAACCTAACTGGGTTTTTTTTCAAGCTCTAAAATGTATGTCTTTCAGGCTGAATTTGTCTTCCATTGATAACACAGACACATCTAACACTAATTCTCTAATTAGTCTAATGTCTAATACTAATGCCATCTTCATTTTCTGCTTGGAAGTAGCTTATTTCCACTTGTTAACATGTGTTCAGTGGTAATTACCCTGTTTTCATTTTTGTATTCAAACAACACTTGAAAAGATAGAATGGAACTTGGCATGGGATATTGTAATATTTGCATCCTGCACTGTAGATTATCAATGAGTAAGTGGATTTTCCAGGAAACTTTCCAATTCTGTGATACCATGAAAACATTAAAGCCAATGAAACACCAAAATTGGCTTTATTTTATAGCTTGTTCAAGTAACCAAAGATGGAGGATTTTTTTTACCCATACTTTTAACAATTGTAATAGATGAACAAAATGTAAGAATATACATGTTGTATGTTATCACCACTTTGCTGTTTTTTGTTCTTATCTTACCTGGCATTTCCAGTTTACATTTCACATCTTTACCAATCATGTATGTTTAGAGCAAATCATTTGGTTGGCTTATAAGATATATGCACAATAATGTTGCATGAAGTAGAATGCTACTTATAATCAGCTGTCCTGTAAAAAGATGGTTCTGTTACAGATCAGGTCACAGAGATATTCATAAATCTTTGATTCTGCTAAAATAAATTTAATATTCAGCCGATTATCTCCTCTTGCAATATTTAAGCAGTGAATGATCAAAAAATGCCTTGGCTTCTTCTGTGAAAGGGAGACTAAAGGCAGCAACTTCAAATTTTATTCTAGATCCAGAGTGTTAGGCTTAACTAGAAGCTGGATATCGCTCTATTTACTGAAAAAGATATATTCATTATTTCAAATTATAAATTTATCTCTATTTAATAATAATAAGCAGATAAAGTCATTTTGATATTGCTCCATTTACTGAAAAAGATATATTCATTATTTCAAATTATAAATTTATCTCTATTTAATAATAATAAGCAGATAAAGTCATTTTGATATTTTCCTTTTTCATCATTTTTAGTAGCAAGAATGATCCAAGTGTTTTAATGCTTTATAAATGACCAACCACCATTAGAGCAGCATAATAATAAACAGACATCAGTTACAATATATGAATGTAACTTTATTAAAAAAGAAAGAGACATAACCGATTCAGATAATTATTTTGGTGGTTATTCAAATGGGAAACTGAAATGGAGGAAGAAAGATTTTTGTTATTTGAAAATGTTACAATAGTCTCAAATTCCTATTTTCCTGGGAATATTAGTCTGAAGTACCTGGAGGACAGATCGGTGAAAAGCTGTAGTAAAGAACACATTATAGTGCTAAAGTAATCGTGTAATTAAGATGTTTTCCTTTATTAAACTTCAGTAAGATCTTTCTGATGGATGCCTATTTGAAAAATAATTCTAAATCAGTCCTGAATTGTTTGACAAAATTGACTGATGTTAAATATTTTCTGAGAACCATATTTGAACAATGTGGAGTGTTCCATTCCTGAATGTCTCTAGAAAATAAATTGAGAAATCTTTGGAATATCTTTTTCCTAAGATTTTTTTAACAACTTTTGCAGGGGTCCAACGTTTTGTTCTTCCTATGAATTGTTGACTGACTTTTAAAATGGGCATTGCTTAAATATTACATAGTTATTATGTGTTTTCTACTACTTATTTCCAGTAATTCCTTTTTCAGTTGTTAGTTCTTAAGAAACATTATATGTTTTTTAAAGTCTGCATCTTCTGAAACATATAACAGCTGAGCTTTTACTTAGAAATCAGAATATTAATACTTTTCAACAAGGGTTAGTTTCAGCCTTCTCTAGTTATTCCTGAATTTCTGCCTGCTGGTTGTGCTGGCAGAAATTCTAGGAATAGTAGTTGAGATACATCTGGGGACCAGTCGGCTAAAGAAGGCTGGCTTGATTGTTGTTTCTGATAACACTTGGTATGCGATCCTCCTATATTTTACATTTTGGAATGTGAGAAACCAGTGTTTATAGAACAACAAAACTCATATGTAATCCTGAAAATTTATATGCAAGAATCCATTTCAGCTTTCTAATAAGAATTCTCTGACCATTGCCTATAGGTTTCTATGTCACAGAAAATGAAGAAGCAGAGTATCTAAAAAAGAATGGATGCACCCAATTTACTTTACTCTCTGAGTCTTCTTATTGCTTACTTTGGCCCTCAACATATTATTCTGTACAAATATTATCCAGAAGTTTTTATATTCTGCAGAGTAAACAAAGCTTAGAATAGCTTTTGATGCCCTGTTGCCTCCTAGATATGTTGGGTGTGCTTGAGATGAAAGAAAAACTACAGGACATGGGAAATCTAACCTACATTGCTAATTAATTTTGGTACATGTTTGAGGATATTGAGGAAGCTTTAAGTTTCCTCAGCCTAATATGTAATTTAATAATAGGATTATTGAAATAACAACATGCCAAAACCAACCATTGCGTATGGATTTTGCTCTTTATCCTAGGTCAAACGGCTTATCTCATTCATGGAGTGAAAGAATCCAAGATGCAAAGAATCTTTCAGACATCTGTCAAAATGGGAGACCAAGGAGTAATTCATGGCAAGGTGGGAAACACTCTTGCTTAGCAGGACAGATTTCAATGAGTCATGATTATCTAAAGAAGTTAGATTGTTTCTTAGATGGATTAGAGCATAACAGAATTTTAAAAATTTGATGTTTGGCTTCTCTTTTTTCTCTTTTATCAAGGATTTGGCTAGATTCTAAACTGACCCTAAGACAAAGCATAGTTTGATTTAAATGGGTATGCCCTGAATCTAAATACATTGTGTATGTATCTTTAGGACTGCTGAATGCCTGAATTCCAAAATTATAATTTACTATTATCTTTTTTTACTATTATGTTTTGATCTCTTTCAGGTAATATAGGAGGCAACAGAAAGAAAGTCAAAGGCAAAAGATTTAGGCCACGGTCTAATTCAACTGAGTAAGTTTGGCCTTTTAGTTGAAAAAGGAAAACAGAAAAGCTCTCAAACTACATTTTGTTTCCATTCCTTCTTTTAAATATTTGATATGGACCCTTAATAGTTACTTATGTTTTCAATAAAAGTACCTGCTGGTAAACAGCATTTTGTGTTTTAAAGTAGGAAATCAGAGTTTTAGTTAAGGGAGAAGACGTTCCCCCTGCCATTTTCCTTTTGAAATACTTTTGTTATTTGTCTCCTTATTTCCCTTATTTCTTGTCATCTCATCTTTGGGGGAAATAAACTTATTTTAGAAATAAGAAAATCTGAGTGGAGAAAAATTATTTAGCAGCTCCTGGAGATCTCTTTGCAAAAATCAGCCTGTGGGATTCCCAAGACATTATCAGGTAAATAGCTATCAAATAGTGGGCTATAGGAATCCAATTTGTTATTTTGGGGTATTTTTCCTGCAAAAAGGAACAACAGATGATCGATCAATTGACATTTACCATATTGATTACCCATTTAATCTTGTTCTATAATGCTGAATCCCTAGACACATTCACCTAGGTTGCTTCATCATTCTGAATAATGGCAAACAGTATTTTAATATTCTGCGATCAAAGTTGGTTCTTGATTGATTTAGTGCAAATAACTATTCAGTACTGTCATGTAATAGGAAAAAAAGTTAGTCAGGAATCATAGTTCAAAATTTCTCCATAATGTTTCCAAATAATTATTTGATAACATTATAGTGACTTTTTTTTTGTAAAGAAATAAAGTATATTGGGGCAGGGTAATCTATTAAAATCACATTGGGAATCATTTCATATTGTGAATTTCTTTTGTGATGTTTCTTGAAATATTTTAAGAAATCTGCAAGCTGCTTATACTTTGTTTCTGGAACCATTTCTGTCCTGTCTGTCATTTTCTCCCATTAGTTATACAGTTTAATACATTATTTAGAATAATACAAGACAACCATTTCAGTGAATGTTATTGATTGTGCAGAGAAGCTTTTCTTGTAAAAATAACCCAAATGTTTCATCTCAAAGACAATAGTAGGGGAGATAATGTTTCACTCTATAAGATTTTTTAAAAAATCACTTGTTTTGAGTTCCACTTATCAGAAGTGGACTGCAAAAATGTAGACAACCAACTGAAAATGTCAAGGAGATATTGAACATTCATTATAATTTTTTACTGTCTGGATTTTTGGAATCCAGATCTGGTAGCCATAGTTTGGGCAAATCTAAGATGTAAATACCAGTACCAAACTAGGCAATTCATATATTGTGTGGAAGGATTCAATTGCAGTACTTTAAATAATTTAATCTAGGTATAAATGACTAAATGTTGCTGTAAATAAGCCAACATCAAAGCTGTTGTCACTGGATTGAAAGGTACAACAAGTCATCCATTCCTCTGAGAAATAAATTCCATAACCTCTGGCCATTCTTTGCAGATGCATATGAACTGTTCCCCACTATTTTGTTAAAACTATTTTGGTGGTTTTATTTTAAGACAATGGTTCTTTGTTAAAGCAGTGGATGACTTTGGATATTATGCTAAATCAAAGATTGGGCAGAACTTTTCCCTGCCTTAAACATTTTCTTCTAGATGTAAGAGTTTAATAATTTTCATTTCTAGTTTCAACAAACCATAGTGTGCAGTTGCCATATTCAGAGCAAACTGTAGTTTAAGAGTAATCACATTTTCAAGAGTAATCACATAATCAAGAGTAATCACATTTTCTTCAGCTTAGGATACTCAACTGGTAATTGAACATGGATGAGAATGCTTCCAGATTCCTCTTTAGAATTATAGCAGTGGAGGAAACGGGCAGCATGAAAGTAGGGGAAGCAGCCCATTTTTACACAGTAAAAATGCCTTACAATATGATTGACTGCAGTTAGTGAAAATACCATCAGATCTCTCTTTAGCTTTTATGAAGTGGCTGTAGGAACAGAAATATATTGCCTTGATGACTGCAAAGGCCAAAGTTATAAAGCAACCATTTTTCTTGAATCAATACACCATTTCTTGGTGTATTAGTGAAATGGAAGATCATTTCTGGCTGGGAAAAACAATTTCTGCAGTAGTTTTTCCTTTGTTGGTTAAATGTTGACCCTAGTAAAATATATTTCATTCCAATGCCTGCAAAAATAAATGGATGGTCATATAGATTGTTCAAATATGAAAACCAGAACATTTATAATTGCATAAAAGCATGTGTTAAAGCATGTCCCAAGTATTCATACTGGCTGTCTGTTAATTTAAACTAACTTTACCATTAGATGTGCATCTTCCTCATTGTTATAAACTATATAGACTTTGGCTTAGATTTTCTTCTATTATATATTGTGTTTTTGCAGCAGGGTATCCCATGCTTCTGAGCCTGGGCTTTCCCACACCAATCAAATCCCACCCCAAGGCATAAGCCAGGGGGATTCTCACCACTCCCAAACAGGGAATCGGAATCACAGGTCAGTTTCAACTGCCTTTCTAGTTTGGCAGCCACTTTTACCCAAAGTTCCTTTTCCAAAATTTTACTGTGATGAAGAATTTTGATTGCTTGGATTTTGATCAGCTTCTGCTGATGGCAGTGCTAGCTAAGCCCTGTTCCTTGCTGGCCTGATATATAATTTTTCCTCTCCTACATGATTGTAAAGTCTAGGGTCCTTGCATTATTGCATGTTGTGCTCAAGCCAATTAAAGCCATTGATTTAGTTTAAGGCATTTCACGCAAAGTTTTACCATCTGATCAGACAGGTTATTTTAGATCACTGTTTTTCAACCTCAGCAAATTTAAGATGGGTCGACCTTAACTCCTAGAATTCCTCAGCTTACATGGTTCCTGGGGAATTCTGGGAGCTGAAGTTCACCCATCTTAAGGTTGCTGAGGTTGAGGAACATTGCTCTGTATCAATGATGACTGATGCACAGTTACCCCAGAGATGAATTTTTAACCTGTTCTAATTCTGCAAACTGGCTTGATATTAAATTATAAGTGCAGGTTGATCATTAGGATTAGAAAAGTTAAATGGTTGTGTACGAACATGCCTCATAACTCTATTGTTTAAATGGCTGCATGTATTGTTGCCATGCTAACTTTATCTTTTTGCGTTACAAAATCCAGATAAGGAGTGCTTCATGTTTATCAAATAAATCTTTCCAATAAAATGTATAGATTGAAGGTTGGGCATTTGTTTTTGCATCTTGCCGCAGCAGTGGCAAGAATTAGCACAGAGTGTCCTGCTGGGTGTGCCTTTCCTTTCCTAGCAAATTGCCCTGCGGTTATACTTTTAACTTGTACTTTTTAATTAGCAACTGAGCTGGAAAACATCAAGCACTTCTTTTTATTTTAAAGCTATTGTTAATTAGATGCAGTCATGGCTGATAGAAAATTGATGCTATGTTTGTGCTTACGCGATGGGAGTGGGAAGGAATGTTGCAGTTTGGACAGCTATTATCCTAATAATATTGGAGCGATGGATTTAACAAACTAAGCTAGTCTGGGTTTGATTTATTTTAAGAATGCAAGCTCTACTAAACTCAACAAAAACGGTGGCAGGTTTATTTTTTATTATTTATTTATTAAATTTTTATGCCACCTGTTTCCCCAATATGGTGACACTTACCAAGGGTTTTAAAATATGGCCATCTAAAGGGATAGGAGAATGGTGAGAATGACATGAATCTATGTTGAAATAAGCACCTTGTCCCTGTTAGTTCTAAATTTCAACTCACATGAGTTTCAGGTATCACAGTAAAGAGCAAGAAACCATGAGATTTCTAATCCAAGGTACTTAAAGAACATTAAATTGCCCTTTTCTGTGCTAAATTATGAAATGCTCCCGTATAATTAGTTACACTGAACATTGAAAAAGCAATTAGTCCTAAGTGGATGTTTTAACTTTCAAATGTGTTGCATATGGTAGTGATCAGCAGCATATTTTGTCTACATGCAATTTGTGCAACAATTGGCTAGCTTTTTCATGCCTGTACAGCAGAGACCATGTTTTACCTCTTATGTAGGGGTAGCTTGTATACAGAAGAAGACTGTTCCAAATGAATAATTCTACTGATTTCAGAAGGATTCATTTGAGAAATCAGTGAACATAAAATTATAGTCTATCTAAATTATTGTATTGTTATTTAGTATCTTTTTGGGATACTAAGATATATGCCCTGACTTAGTAGTCTAAAACATGGACTCCAAATTTATGATGTGTTAATTAAATGGCTAGCAACAATTAGTAGCATATGTAGCAGTACTGATTACCAGAAGGGAATCAGCTATTTTCTTAAACTTTTCCATATATTTTTCTTCAGTGACATAGAAAAAATAAAATATTTGAAGTGTCTAGTTATGTAGACTATTGTTCGAGAACAGCTGTCATATAATCCAGGAAAAATTGATGTTTAAGAAGGAATTCTAAGAATGGATCAGTCAAAGAATCCATATTTGGCAAACAAATAAGATCTTCTCTTTCTTCCTACAATAATTTTATTCCTAGAAATAATAGAAGGAAAAACAAAAACAAAAACACACACACACACACACACACACACACTATTGTCAACAAAATAAGATCAAGGCTTCTTCCTGAATCTGATTTCTAAATATCCAGGTGCTTATACTTAGGCTTCTATGACACCAAATGAATAATCATTTGTTATATTTATAGAGATTAAATATATGGCTTTGAAATAACATAGTTAGCCTATTTAGCTACCAATAATGTTCACCTTGGAATGATTTATAGAATTTTCATGTTATGCTGTTGTGATGCACTGCTTCCTATTCTGGCTACTTGTGATTCATTTTTTTCCACTCTCTCAGAGTACTAAGTAACATTAAAATCGGCTTATTATGAGTTCTTCAAGTTTTAAGAAGTGTATAGTCCTTGTGTTGTCATGGCCTTTACACAAGGACAGATTCATGGCAAGTACATAGAACATGTAAGGTTAAGTTAATTTCTAAATGGATATATCTTATGGGTCTCTTTGTCTAGCATTTGCACTGAATTATAGTCCTTCATTACTGAGGGATAAAGGCATCCTTTCTGAGCTTGTGCTGTGTGTTCTCAGATATTTCTCTATTCTTCTTCTGCTTTCTTTGTTCCTTCCATTGCTTTTTGCAGGTATTTAAACCCATGGTTCAAAAGAGAATATAATGTAGCTAAGTGGGTAGAAGATGTGAATAAAAACACTGAAGGACCCTACTTTAGGTATTTTGTGAATTCATTCTCTCTACTCTTTAAGAACGGCTTAAGCATACACCAGATATTATGTGACCCCTCTTGTATGTTCCAATACAAGTAATTTCTTTAAAGATGTCAAGGGCTCTTTGTTCATGGCTGCCTTTTGGGGGCTTCAATGTGCAATTACAATTCTTTTCTGAATGCCTTAATGAAGCCTTTTGAAAATGATGCTCACAGTGCTTGCATTCCCATCACCATCTTTAGCTTTCAGCAGCTTTCTCTTTATTTAATGCCGAATAATGTTTTAAGGGCATGATCAGAGTCTTCAACTAATCAAGTAGCATCGGTAGTAAGTTAGTACATTGGAGCCAATAGCTTTACTTACAATGTGTTTAAGGTGCAATTATATGCCCTTATATTTAGGTGTCAATTCCACTTGCAATAAACAAACCAAATGTTTGAGAAGACGTTTAGAACATTATGCTATTATCTTCCAGTTGCTTGTAGAAAAGAAAAGAAAAAAATGTGCTAAATTGCAGCTGTGAGCGGAATTTTATCTTAATGCTTAAATAGAAATACAGGTAGTTCTTTCTTAACAACCATTTGTTCAGAGACCATTTGAAGTTACAACTAGCATTGAACAAATGGTACTTAACACCCGAAGGTTATGCCTACTGCAGTGGCCTCACAGTAATGTAATCAAAATTTGGCCGCTTTGCTGTCCACTTAACAACTGTAGGATGCATCAACTCCCTCCATCCATTTATCTCTCCCCACATGTCTACCCTTTAGGCTGCCCTGCACAGTGGTACCCCTTGGCAGCAGCCACACTAAGGCTGAAATAGAGGCCTGGTCTTCAGCAGATAGAATCGTCTACCATTGCCCCCAGGCCTCTATTTTAAGCCCTGTGTTACGGCCAGCCACCCTAGTGTCACAGCACAAATCCCCAGCTCTGCAGGCCCTGCGCCACCAACTAACTTTCCCCATCTTCCTCTCACTGCTGCTGAGGCATGCCCTAAGTGAGGCAGCTGCTAGCCACACCAGGCCTCAAGACCACTACCGCTGTTCTTGCAATGCTTTTGAAAGCCTTCTGAGGTCTTCCAAAACATTGCGAAAAAGCTGAGCCTGCCATTCTCCAAATAGTGCACCACTCTTGCAATGTTTTGGAAGGCCTGAGAAGTTTCTGTTGTCCTGATGGCTCTAATTTTAACTTTCATGTAACAAAAAGGGGGAGTAGTTTATTTTTCTGCATATGTTTTATTTTGACAGGCTTTGTTTTCTCACAACAGAATCCATATTATTAATTACTTTTATATTAGCATTGCACATTTAAAAACTAACCATTCCTTTTCTCATCTTTAGTAAATGTTCTATCTAGGTGCACCGATTCATCTATTCACCATATATGTTTTACCATATAATGTGGAAGTATTCATCCCTGTGAAATATGTTTACTTTGATCTTTGATACATTTATTTTTAATCTTTTTCATCATACAAGTTAACATTAACTGCAAATCATCAAGAGTCTTGTCCAACATCTGTGTACAAAAGTGCATTCACAAAAGTGTTCCTAACCGATATACATCTAATGTCGTTACAAGCTGTCCTTATACATTTATCCATAAATATTATAAACCTCTTGGGGGACATTATACATTCTTGCTTTATTTCCAGTTCAATATTGAACCATTTGCTGAGTACACCATTTATTATTGTGCATGTTTTATTCCTTCATATACTGTTCTCGTTGCATTCTGCAATCAATTATCAATCATGCCTTGAGGTCCTGAGTTAAAGGAAATACATCTAAATAAACCCCATATTCATACAAGATGTTCCATAACACACAATACATTTACTTTCTCACATTGATAACAGAGATAAGTGTCATGATGCATAAAAGTGACAATTTCCTTAAAGTTCCTCTGTCTATAGCATTATGAGGAATTAATATTCAAAACTTCCTTTTTATTTGTCTGACATCTGATGGCTTTCTTATAGTTTCACACAGAATAGATGACATAATAAGTTTTTAGTTGTTGCTTTTGTTTTTATTTCTCTTTGATTACTTTCAGGTAATACCCTGTTTCCCTGATAATAAGCCCAGTCGGGCTTTTGAGCACTTGGCAATAAGGCCAAGCACTTATTTCAGGGTTTAAAATATATATATATATAAGATAGGGTCTTATTTTCAGGGAAACACGGTAGCTTAACATGAAACACATCTTGGTTTTATGACCAGGATATCTGCATAAACATTTCAAAAGTTTATGAAAT